GCTCACCTCAAACCCAGTTGACTGGGCTCTTGAGAAGATCTTTGAGCAGTCAGACTGCCTGAACAATAAATCGCAATACAGTAAGGATTCATCACCTTATGCAAATACATTATAGAGGCAACTATATACTCTAGGAACACAGATAATTGATACCCAGCTGCTCTGGCAGGCAAGCAAAAAAAGGCTGTGTGGCTGAGTGTGGTTATATAAAAAATGTGAAGAAAACTCCCGGTCATGAATTTCAAAAGCTGTCAAATGGAATGGGATTTAAAAATTCTATTTAAGCAAACTCAAAAGTAGAACAACCCTTTGTCTCAGGGCAATGGATCTATTCCTTTTGATGAAGGAAGCTGTGATGGATTTCTCTTTAGTTTGGTTGCAACATATAAAGTTACTTTCTTTTTCAAAAAGTATTACTAGATATCCCTAACAAAAAAAAAAAAAAAATCAAAAAAATGGTTTTGTAAAATATTTTACCCAATTTCTGTGTCATGTAACTGTCAGTATTGACATCTTGAGGAGAATAAGATATATGGCCACAAACACTGTTCTCAGCAAATAATTGTCTTAAAATTGATCATACTCAATTAGTTCAACCTACTGACACCAACATTTTGCATTTTACTTGAATCATATTCTCATCAAAAAAGTAACAATGCTTATAACCATACATGGTACATGGTTACAAAAAGTAAGAGCTGTGTCAAGAAAATGTGTTGTCAGATTTCATCCACCAGAGGTAAAGAGCTCTGCCTGTAGAGTTCAACATTTGCTACATGGATGGAGTGCTGATGAAAGGTTGTCTTAAGATCAGCCTTCTGGAGCATTACAGGCTGGAATTCTGCAAAGTCCACATGAAAGACATGAAAATATCACTGAATACCAGGCTCATACTTTCAGAGACATCTGCTGGCCAGATCTTTCATCTCATCTGGAATAGCCTGTTTGACATTGCACAATACAACAGACAAAACATTACTGCTTTCAGTAGGCTCTGAATACCTTTGGCAATATATGGGAGCTGATATGGCTACAAGAAGATACCAGTAATTGTAAAGGTGAAACGATTACTATTCATGCTGTTGTGAGCTAGATAAAGGCCTTTCCTCCAGCTCAGTCACACACAATTCATTTTTCACATGATATGGTGCCAGAGACTTGTAGCAATATATCACTGCTCAATGCACTGAACTGGAGTAAACAGGTCTTTGGAAAAGACTGCAGTTTTCCCCATGCTGTTTTGTAACCTCAACTTCCACAAAGCACTATGTCTACTGAACTTGTCATAAAGATATTAAACAGTCCTTTAATGAAGACTGGTACCTAATGAGTGACCAGTCTTCATCAGCATAGTGATATTTTAAATGGTTTAAACAGAAGCTTGCACACTAGTGGCTTTGTAAATTGTTAGATAATACAAAATGAAATCATTACAACTGAAATCTTTCATAACGCTGGTATAAAAATAATGACAACATGACAAAATACTGAACTATTCAAAAAACACTGGGACAAGATTTACTATGTTTGCATTAACTTGTGATAAAAAAATATTTTTTTCCCAATTCACTCATCCTATCCAATAGTGAAATCTGCAACACAAAATGGTTTCCATCCATTTTTCTCCTCCTTCGCATCCTATTATATGGGATCTCTTTGTCCAGCAATATGTACTCCTTCCTACACACTTGTTTGAAGCCCAACACTTGTTTTTGTTATAACATGGGCCAGAAAAGATCGCCCATCCCGATTTCATAATACATTTTCAGTAGGTCTTTTATAGTTATGCCATATATTTCTTACAATCTCTTCAGTGAACACAAGATACATGCTTGAAACAAACAAACAAAGGAAAAATTATGACAAACATCACAGGACATACGAAACTTCTGAATTCAGTTACAGCCAATCTTAAAAATCTAAACACTTAATCACTGAACAAAGGATAACCTTTATGGGCCTATACATTTAAAATTTATCACATACACAGCTCTGTAGAAAAAGATATATTCTTATATTTTTCATCACAAGATGCTAAGGTTTTGAGTAATTTATTTGACAAGAATCTCCAGTTCAGCCTTTGAGCCTGGTGTGCAAATTAAAATGTCAGTTCATGGTTCTCCTATCATGATCTGAACAAAATAACTTTATTCAAGCACTGTTCCCTAAAAACATGTTTTACTTCTTTCTTAGTAAACTAAACTACGATTTGGAAAAAAATCACGCCAGAGGGTGATACAGTGCAAGGCTCTCTGGAATGACCTAGCCTTTCTCTTTTCATGCCTCCCTGAATTCTTCCTTTTCTCCCTGGCCTCAGCAGAAGCACCTGTCCATATGTGATTACCTTGCCAACAGACAGATGGAATAAGACTACCCATGTAGTTCTACAAAACAAAACAAGTCAAAAACAAAGTCACAAGATTATTGACAGGACAGAGTGAAACAACCTCAACTGACACATGGCATATGAGACTCTGGACTACAGGCTGAGTAATTCAAAACAGGATGTTTTCCTTCTTTTGTAGATAAGAACAGATATTTCTTTACTGTGTGAAAAACTAAAATCTTCCACTTTCTGCTTTTTATTATTCTAGAAAGAAGCCAAGGATCAGAGAACATCAGCTAATGAGACTCTTCTTTTTTGTATATCACAGAATCACAGAATTTCTAGGTTGGAAGAGACCTCAAGATCATCGAGTCCAACCTCTGACCTAACACTAACAAGTCCTCCACTAAACCATATCCCTAAGCTCTACATCTAAACATCTTTTAAAAACCTCCAGGGATGGTGACTCCACCACTTCCCTGGGCAGCCTGTTCCAATGTCTAACAACCCTTTTGGTGAAGAAGTTCTTCCTAACATCTAACCTAAAACTCCCCTGGCGCAACTTTAGCCCATTCCCCCTTGTCCTGTCACCAGGCACATGGGAGAACAGACCAACCCCCACCTCGCTACAGCCTCCTTTAAGGTATCTGTAGAGAGCAATAAGGTCGCCCCTGAGCCTCCTCTTCTCCAGGCTGAACAAGCCCAGCTCCTTCAGCCGCACCTCGTAGGACTTGTTCTCCAGGCCCCTCACCAGCTTCGTCGCCCTTCTCTGGACTTGCTCAAGCACCTCGATGTCCTTCTTGTAGCGAGGGGCCCAAAACTGAACACAGTACTCGAGATGCGGCCTCACCAGAGCCGAGTACAGGGGGACAATCGCTTTCCTAGCCCTGCTGGCCACACTGCTTCTTATACAAGCCAGGATGCTGTTGGCCTTCTTGGCCACCTGAGCACACTGCTGGCTCATATTCAGCCGACTATCAACCATCACTCCCAGGTCCTTCTCTGCCTGGCAGCTTTCCAACCATTCCTCTCCCAGCCTGTAGCTCTGCTTGGGGTTATTGCGCCCCAGCTGCAGGACCCGGCACTTGGCCTTGTTGAACTTTATTTATTGTTGAACTCTACATATTTATTTTAAATTAAAATTAAAAAAATAAATCAACCCTAAAATTTAAGCCAGATCTCTACATTTACACACACACATTTCCTGTCTACAAATGGGGACTCTCCAGCATTTTGCATTATCTTACAATAGGATAGTAATTCTGAAAATCCATCTTAAAATACATGTAGATGCTGGAAGAGGGAAGAAAAAATAATATTCTAAGCTATCAAGTCACCAGAAATTAGTTGGTACAAAGTCCAACTATTTTCTAATGGGGACAGGGAAATGGGACATAAGGTTGATACTCAGATGACCAAAGACTGATGAACTTTAAATTGTGCTGCTTCAACTAAAAACATACTTGATTTTCATAACTGTCTATGAGCCACAGAAGCATGTGATAATAAATAGGATCTAATCCTGCCAGTAGGAGGGCTATCACATCAATCTCTATTGCAAACTAGCCTGGACCCTTGCAAAGATGCAGCAGCTGAATGAGCAACTATAAGCACACAAAGATTCATTAAAAAAAAATCCGCAGTCATATCCACTTAGGTCTCAAATGATATCAGTTTGCTTTGCTTTACCAGAAACCACAAATAAAAAAGAACAAATGTGAACAATTAGAAAACAGACAGATGAATAGGTGAATAACAGCTGCCTTACTATGCAGAACTAGTCCAGAACCAATGGAGAAAGTATCTATTAAGGCTACAAGGGACAAAATTAGCCTAAAGATTCTTTTTTCTTTTCCTTGCTTACTGAATGATATTTATCTTGTGAACAATTTTATTTTCTACCTAATTATTACTGAATAATTACAAAATTAATAATTTGAAGCTAGTTTTTATTTCTTAGAACTGAAACTTCTGACTCAATTTAAATGCTTTGAAATTTAAAGGACATTATTAACTCTATATAATTTGCAAAAAAAAAAAAAAGTAAACATTTCTGAATTTTTTTCACCTTTTTTTTCTATTGATTTAGCTTTTTTTTTTTTTTTTTTTACCACTGTATTCAGACTTATGCTCGTTTTAGCACTTGCACTTCAGAGATAAATGAAGAACTAATAAGCCCGCTTCACCTCTGTTTTTTACCTCCTTTTTACTGGAATCCTACAACACTGAATCTCAGCTATATTTTCTGTATTTTCAGCTATATTATTGTTCTCATTCTCTCATGAAAATGAACAAAATAGGTATTAATACATTGTTGGCATTATAATCAGTTACTAAAATACTAAAAAGCTAAACATTTTAGAACAAAAGTAGTTGTTTCCTTATTCTCATTTGCTTGTCCTTTAACTGTAGAAATATATGGATTTCTATAGTTGTGACATTAATAAAACAGTAACTATGAGAGCATCTCAAAGAGCAGGAAGCAATCAATCCATGACAAACACATTTAAATGAGTTATATGTACCAAATGCTTCTTTATTTCTGGACATCCAATATGTTAATTCTTGTCCTGGTAGTCTTTTCAATTTCTTTTATTTTCCAAACTTACATGATTGTTTGAGAATAATATTTTTTACATCACATGTAAATTTTTACGCTAATGACTATGCTTACTTCATAAAACATGAAATCATCCACATTTATTTCTTCATATTCGGCCTCCACTTCATCACTTTTAACAGCTGCAAGAGCACTGGCCAGTTTCCTTCGCAAAAGAAAACCCTTCCAAGATGCCTAAACAAAAAATTTAAAGCATGTTATATAAAGTCATAGATCAAACCCAACTCCAGATTCTCTATGTTATCCCATTACGAAGATAAAACATCTTGGGCCCTGGTTTAATAGCTCAATGATCTGTTTTTTGAACTTTATGTGACATTTAAAACTACAAGACAAATTAAATGCCAGCACATGTCTAAAGCTTAGAGTACTCAGGAGGCTCTCCACAAGTAAGCAGAAAGGAATCCTGCAACTCCCTCAACTACAAACCTGGGTCAACTAATTAATTATTTGACAATTCCTTCAGGGACTATTATAAACTGAAAGGAATGACTACATACAAAAAAGCTGAGTGTTAACTTTCAAATTACTGAGAATAAAAATACACTTATACTAAATGCTTTATAGTTTACAAGTAGCTATTCTGGGAGATATCTCATGCAATTGACCTAGGTCAGTCACTTTCTCTTAACTGTCTAAGATCTTTATTTTAAAAATACTACTGGTAGGAATAACTATAACTATGAAAAAGAAGGACATTAGGAATTAAATGCTAGAAAAAAAAGCAAGGTGTTACAAACACATGACAAGCTGTAGAATCATACAAAAGAAAAAATTCCAAGAGATCAAAATTAAATAAATGGAATTAAGAATACTAAATTCAATTACCCCCCAAATGGTTTGATGTAATTAGAATTCAAGATGCCGTAAGCATTTAAATACTGTGCAAAACACTCTCCTGAAGAGTAGTGTTGTCAGAGTAGTGTTGGCGACATTTAAAGGCTTTGCAATGAAGGCACTAAAACAGGAAGGGTAAATCTCATATTCAGACTTAAAATTTAGCTTATTCATTTTTAATACATGATTTCATAATTACATAAATTATTGAAAACATTGCTGTCTTTACACGTAAAATTCCTGATTTATATACAAACGATTAAATGTATTAGATCTGCCTTCTAATCATTTATTGGTGTTATTTTCCTACAGATCTTCATAACCATTCAGAAAGAATATCTGATATTACAGAGCGATCAACTGAGAAATACATTTCATTCAATAAATACAATTAGTTTTTACAGATGCAAAGGAGAAAACAAGTTGTAATGGTACATACAGAAGGATAAACTGTAAGCCATCTGTTAACACAAATCTATGAATTCACGAGCTCAGTGCTCAGTTGAGATAAAAAATGACAAATTATATTACAGCAATTTTTAAGAAATGAGATGAAAATTCATGATATACCTACCTCTGGAATTCAGTGCTAGTCACTTCTTTAAAATAGGATATATAAGAATAAGATAAAGATATAGGGATAAAAGGATAAGAAGCACAGAGTAATGTGAAAAGAGACTAAATTGACTGAGGTTTTATTAAGGAAAGTGTGAATAATGGTGATGGATGTAAGAGACACACAAATCCATAAAGTGCACAGAACGCAAATAGTGAAAGTGTATTTATTTCCATATAAACTTTGGAAATCAAATTTGGAAAAGGTTTGGAAAAAAAAAAAACAAAACAAACTAAAAACATTTTATTCAGTATATAATTTTGTAGAACTCAACACTTCAATATAAAGTAGAGGCCAAATAGGTTCAGAAATATATTTTAATATACTAGTAATATAATAGTACATATTATATTAATATTTACATATATTTTATTGATAGTATATTAATATAATCGATTTTAATAAAATGTTCAATATATTAATAATTATTAATATTATTAATGTTTTATTATATCATTCTATTTTTATATATTTTTATATATTTTTTCTATTTTACAAACATATGCTTTTATATTTATATATATTTATATGCTAATATAGCAATATGTACTCATTAAAATGCTAATATATTATACTAATATATACTAACATACTAATATATTTTAATGTAATAAATTTAATACACTAGCTACAGACTATACTCCAGAAACAAACTTAGTGATACTAGCTAGCTACATTAACTTAAAAATGTAGAAAAATCCATGAACCCTGGCAACTTGTCATATAGACGCTATATCTGTTTAGCAAACTAAGCAGAGCCAAGGCATGGTCTTGAGTTCACACACACAGTAATCCATTCTGTTTAACCATTAGTCCAGTATCTGGTATGGTACAACATAGGCCCTGGTGTGTTCTCAATGGCAGTATGAATGTGGCAGTCCTATCTTCTGAGAGATGGGAAGAGAAGGAAAAGCATGAGTAGGTTGGATGGGAGAGAAAGGAAGAGCAGTTAGTTGTATAGATACGAGATACGTTCTACCACTTATGCAGCCAGTGTCTGTCGTTTTAGTAGCATAGACACACACCAGTAAGAACACAGGCCCAATATGCTCTAAAACACGGTATTAAAATAATAGTAATAATAATAAAAAAGCTAATTCAGGGAAAATATTTGTTGAATAAAGGGCAAATATTTTTATGCTTCTACAGAACATTTTTTTGTAAAGAAAGCTTTCAGAAACTTCGATCTTACAATTTTTAAATAAAGCACACAAAAAATTTAATTCCAAAGCTATTGATAATATCATTATCATAAGTAATAATAGATAGAAGATGAAAAATACACAAAATTAGATTCTTTCTTATTTAATTGGAAAATAAGTACAGAATGCCACGAACTAACCTGGATTAGTGTGGCAGCTTCATTCTTCCGTCTTGAAACCTCTGTAAAATGATCATTCCTTGTTTTGGTACAGTTATTTTTCCTCCTGGCATGGTACTTCTTCCAAAGGGACTGGATCGTTGATGCTGCCATATGCAGCCTAGTAAGGAATAAGTACCTTTTTGGATAACATAACCTCACCAGCAAAAATAGATTATCATAGCTGCCTAACTATAACCAAAAAAAAAAAACTGAAAGAATAGTGTTATGCACTGAGAAAAATAGAATGCTCTAACATTAAACTGTAAAGAAATTACAGCACAGATGTGATGCACATGTACAGAAACACAGGAGGATATTTACAACATTTGGAAGACCAATTTATCTAAGAGAACTACTCTCTACTGGGTATTGTTCCCTTCACATTAACTAGAGAAGAAGTGTCTCTTCAAAGTAGTTATCAGGAGCAGAAGTAGTTAATAATGACTGAAAGATTGGAAAGATCCACTTATCTCCACAGTCTATATAGAAAAATACTAAAGTGAAATAAGGTGAATGCTGAAAGCTGCACGATAAGAATAATTCCAATAGAGCAGATGGGAAAACGTTTTCTAAGATAGGAACGTTTTCTAAGTTACTTATTGTTTAAAAAGCACTGATTACAGGTTACTTAGATTTTCTAACTGATTGAGATCCCTAAACATAAGGTTAATTAATTAATTTTTTTCTGATGGAGAAAAAGTTTAATGGGAGCTTTGCATTTTGATATTATTATCTTGGAATCCTTCTCTCCACAAAATTCTCATTTCAGCTTTCTCGTGGGTTTAATAAAATGTGTCTAAATTTCCCCCAGACTTCACACATTTTACACTTTACAATCTGTAGTGCATTTATTTAAATAATAGAGTACTCTTCAGTGAAAAAGACAATCCAGCACAAGTCACAGCACACTTCAGAGGTTAAGCCAGAAGAAAGGAGTAGATTAAATATTCCTTTTTCTAAGTATTTTTTCCTTAAAATGTGTTTATTAAGTTTACCAACCTCAAAACATGGTTTATTTATAAGCTTTGCAACCATAAAAAATAATCTGAGTTTAAAAAAAAAAAATATTTAAGTTTATATTCTGCATTGAAGAGAACTGTTCAACAACTGGCTACAGAATGAATTTAAAATTCTAAGAACTCTAAATACACTTTTCAAAAAGATTTTTTTTGAGGCACTCAACTGCCATAATAGACTACTGTAGTCTGATTTTCTAATTTCTGAGAGGCAATGATGAATTCTATGGTCTTCCTGAATAATAATTTTTATGACATATTGTTAGTGTCTTAAAAATCAACCAACTAACCACTACTGCCCATTTACAATAAGTCTAACCAGCATGAAGAAGCACACCTTCCCATGCTTGATTCTCACACTGTATTCAAGATGCATACTTTTGAAACTGAATACTTATGAAGCTGTAACTAAAAGTTTGTATCTCCAGGGCAAAATTTCTGGGCAAAATAGCTTCTATTTTCCCTGACTGTACATCCAGAAACATATACCAGCAACAGATACATTCTGAAGAGGTAATAAACCAGTCTGTTTTATGCAAGAGAGAATTTAGGGGCACAGAACAAGTTGAACTGGCCCTTCACCCCTGCCTCTACTTGTAAGAAGTGGGTTGAGGCATGTTGGAGGAGTACCAAGGGCAGGGCAGACTGTTAGCTCTTCAGTCATCACAACAGCAGGAGCCTGGCCTAAGGTCAAGGGAGTCAGATAGTAGATTTAAGCAACTTTTCCATCTTGCTTTCTAAATGATACCAACTGTAAATTTTACACAGACGAATCTTGAGTGCCTAACGAACAATACAGCAAAAAACTTACACTGGTTTGTAGTTCAAACTCCCTCAAAATTCCAACAAACCACCAAGCCTTTTCATCCTTAATGTTGTAAATTACTTGTGCATTTAAGAGTTGGTGTCATGACAGTATTGCAAAAAAGAAGGAAAAGTTAGGAGGCCAAGTGGAAGTTTCAAAATTCTCTTATTAGACAGTATCTAATAGTCCAGTCTGCATCACCTTAAAGTACTTTGCTGTCTAATAAGCTTCAGAATATTACTTCCACACTAAAACATAGATGTGTGATCTGATAAACAAGAAATTCTCACTTATTGCCTATACATCTAATATATCTGAAATCAGTCCAACACCCATGTCTTACCTTTCTGTATCATTATCAAAATGCTTAAGATCTCTTCTCACATTACTTGATATAACTGACTGTTGCAATGTGAGCTGGGCTGACATGTTATTGTTGCCTTTGCTCTCCTCACTGTAATTAATACAAGATTCCATGTTCTTCTGCTTCACTCTATGATCTTCTTTATTTTCCTTTTGGTGCACAGGTATGGAGGAGTTAATGAATGTGGCCTTAATATGGTCAGTAGTAATCCATCTTTCAGAAGAATCCAACAAGACCTGTTTATTTTCTGTCGCACCCGTGATAAAGAGGTTATTTTCCTGTAGGCAGCCAGTGGATGTTTGCTTTAAATGATTTTGCAGTGCTTCTGGTCTATCTCTGTCAGTAATGTTTAGTTCACCATACTCATGCGCACATCGATGTTCAATGCTAAGTTTCATTAACTGATTAAAATACCAGCATTGTCTCTGTGCAGCATCAATGGAAGAGGCAATTCTGAAGAAAGATAAAAATGTTATCACATATTTCAGGCTGTAAGAACACTTCAAAAATATATATTTCCTCTATTAATTCCTACACTACTCTATATTTTCATGTATCCTTACAGTTAACAGTAATTACTCTAAAAATTAGTTTCAGCATTTAAAAATCTTAACTACACTTTTTTGGTAGTATCTCAAATATACTAAGACATATTAGCTTTCTTATTTTAATTTATGTCTTTTTGTTTTTTAATGGCTTCAGTCTGAAATAGGCATTATGGCATGCATTTCACTGTTCATTTTCTATGTGGTTACAAAGCCAAAAATTTTAGAGGATTTGATGTAATCTTTTTTTTTTTTTTTTTTTAAATTTGGGAACTATGGTATCTAGTATAAAAATAACAGTAACTTTTAAATTTACATTAGAACTACAACAAGAAAACCCAAACTTAGATTCAAACCAACAAACCACAATGTCTAAAGAGAATTTACAAGAATAGAAACTTTTAAATGTCAATACTTTTATTAATATATAGGAAGACGCCACACTGAACTTCAGGAAGAGTTAAAATTCTCTGCAATTTTTTCCCTGGCTAAATACTAGTGGAGTTCCTGCAGATCTTTGTTCACTTGACTTACAATTTTATAATAAGCTGTATAAGCCTGGTATACCTATGGAATAGAGTAATACTAATAATAGAGTAATATAATAATAATAATAATAGTATAACAATAGAGCAACAGTAGAGCAACAGTAGAGCAACAGTAGAGCAACAGTAGAGCAACAGTAGAGCAACATAATAATAATAGAGTAATAGAGCCATACAAAGCATCTGATTTCCCATCTGATTGTCAGAATGAGCCCAGCAACATTAACCAATGTTAACCAAGTCTGGCTCTGATTAGTTGTGCTACATCATCCAAGTGACTAGGGCAAATATGAACTAATTGTTACAGATACAGAAGGCTGCCTGTATTTGGACAGTGTTTATCTATTGTAATAGGTAGCAGATAATTTTGGAACCCGCAAAATGTTTTCCTTTGATACCACAGATAGATGCAGAGATCTGTAATCTGGAGCTATTTTCAGAGGACCAAAAAGTCAATTCTAGGTCAGCAACACAAGATAAAAAAGTTGAAATAAGATCAGTTCTCTTGGGGGTCTAGAAAAATTAGGTCCTAAGATAATAGCTTGAATAACAGAATTTCCTGTTCATCATTCTTAAAAGGCAAAGTTTTTATAATATTTTAATGTGAAAAGTCTATTTAACTAAATAACTATTTCCTCTAGTAAAGTTTAACTAAGAATTTTGTAGTTTTTTTAGAACACATAGATCTTACCGGAGGAAAACAGGCACTCTTTCTCTGTTAGTGCAAGTTCACTACTGTCATGTAAAATATGAACAGCTAAATTTGAAGCCAAATCCACACAGCGTAATTATACAACTCATGCATTAGCTGTACAGTGGATTGTCCATTACACAGTATTTTCTTTCCTGTTAATTCCACAAATACAGTAACATTTCCTCAAAAGATTTAAACCATCACAAATATTTGCTTGAGGATCTAAAAAGTTCTACCTGTCTCCTCCCACACAGTAAGTACAGTAACTTATTCAATAAGAAATACTAGTAAAATATTTCAGAAATTTGGTTAGAAGAAGAAAAAAATAACATGGGAAAAAAAAACAAACAAACATGATCTTTTACATAATAGGCAAAATAAGCTTTTGTATCATGAAAAGTACACTCCTATACTATTATCCTAAGTATACTTGTTCATTCTCAACCAACAGAAAAAACAACAAAACAAACAGGAAGGACGGAAAGAAGGGAGGGGGAGAAGGGGGAAGGGAGGAAACTGTTAACAGAACAGGATGCTTGTGCATCTTCTCCCTTGTCAGGTCTAGCAGCACCTTGAACTCTTTCACTCTTTCAGTGTCTATGCATATGGCAAGTAGGAACAGCAGGGGAGGTTGAAGACAACAGGAAATTCAGGTGGGAAATAACTGTGGTCACCAGGGATCATATGTTTTTTGTTTGTTTGTTTGATTTTTCCACAAGCAGCTTTTGGGAGGTTACTAAATAACTGTAACTGTATTTGGGATTCTCCTGCAAAATTAAACTCCAAAGGGCAGACAACAACAACTATAAACAAATAAAAGAAAAAGTAAAAAGGGGAGGGGAGAAGAGGGAAGACAAAACACTGTTCAGGAGGGTTGTGGCAGGATCATCCTATCAAAGCACTGCAGATTTCTCAGTATCTCGACTGCATTCTTGATACCAGAGACTGGGTCCTGAAGACCACTTACTCAAACCACAAAAAGGAAGCAGCTATCATGGAAAATATGCAGGAATGATTTACTTTTTTACTCAGGAAAAAATAAAGAAAAAACAACAAAAGAAAAGACAACCACATACTAGGGTACTAGGGAGGAGAAAAAAACAAAGAAAGAAATATGTAAGTATTAAGACTTTTGATACCATAATATTTCCGTTATAGTTACTGTAAATTTGCCTTTGAGACCTTTTTGGCTTTATAGATCAAGGGGTCTCGTCACACTAACTCTTCTGGAATTGCTTCTTAGTTAAAATACAAACAACATTTTAAGTGTAAGTTGGCATCTAGACAAAACAAGAACTGTGATCACCCTGACAGAAGCACCAGTGTCCCTACTCTCAGGATGCTTACTAAGTCATGTAATGTTGAATACAGCAGACTAACTGCAGCAAGTTTTACAACTTCCACTTCCAGCTTTGATGAGCACATTGCCTTGTGTTAAGTGGCCAGTCACCCAGAGTCTTGATCAGATCTTAACCAGTGAAAGCATATTATATCCCATGTAAATTTTAGAACAGCCACAAAGCTTCTGCACTGCTTCTGCACTGGGAGAAGGGAATACTAGAACAGAAGAAGATGGGTCTTCATCATAAGATTCACAAGATTTGATCTTCATCACAAGATCACAAGATTTGACTGTACTCATACAGCAGCCTTGCTCATACTTCAGGACCAAGATACTACTTTCACAAAAAAATGCTACAAACAGAAAGCTACCTGTAGCCTTCTAACGAAAAAGACATCTCTCAACTTGAGTTAAGGTTTTCCAGAGACTTCAAGGAAAGATAAAAGCACTAGAATCAGATTGTAATCCACATGGAAGTTTAAGCTTTGAAAGCTTGCCTACAGAACTGTTAGAAGACCATATTTTACATATAATTTCATCCTGCAATGACCACTATGTTATTCAAAGATCATCATTTTGTCAGAATGAGACAGTAAAAATGATACGGAAAAGTCAGTAGAACAAACCTTTTGGAGGCAAAAAAGTCAGTTGACAAAAAAGCCAGTTCTACCGAGCACTGGCAGTTATCTCCTGGTCACTGCTGTCCTGGTGAGGCCACACCTGGTATTTTGTTCAGTTCTGGGTTCTCCAGTACAAGAGGGACATAGAACTACTGGAGCAAGTGCAGAGGAGGGCTACTAAGATGATTAAAACTGAAGCACCTGTAATAAAAGGACAGACTGAGAGAACTGGGCCTGTGTAGCTTGGAAAAGAGAAGACTGAGGAGAGACTTCATCAATGTGTATAAATATCTGAGGGGAGGGTGTAGAGAGGATAGAGCCAGTCTTTTCAGTTGTGCTCAGCAACAGGACAAGAGATTCCAGCTGAATACGAGAGAGCACTTCCTTACTGTGAGGGTGACAGAGCACTGGCACAGGATGCCAAAAGAGTTTGTGGAGTCTTCATCTCTAGACATACTCAAAACCCACCTGAATGCCATCCTGTGCAATGTGTTCTAGGTGTCCTGCCCAGCAGGGGATTGGACTAGATGATCTTCAGAGGTCCCTTCCAACCTCAGCCATTCTGCGATTCTGTGATTATTCTACCCCTAACTGTGTGCTAGTTAAAATTATGCTTAATGTCACTTTGCAGCTCTATTGTGATTTTCATTAGTCAGTTAGTTAACTTTTGTTAAAATACAAATTGTCATTCAATCATGTTTGTAAGAACTTTACAAACACATGGAAAAAGACCATTGTTTACATATTCTCTCCTGCAAACCTGCTTATGAAATTCCTGTCATTTTCACTATATTATACATACAAGTATTTATAAAGTTCCAGTAGCCAGACACCTGATTAATGAAAACAAATTACTGTAGCCAAGGTATTGTGTTAGTTTTTTAAATGATTACTCATTACAAGACAAGCATGCTAAGAACAGTGAACTTGCATGCAGAAACAGCACAAACAATTGAACTGAGCAGCAGTGGTGTATGAAACATGGATTAGGGAAGCAAGCAGTGATTACTTTTGGCAGCTTACATACTTGAGGTCGCACCTACAGGGGCTCATAACTTAGCAAGATGTGAAACAGACAGAAGTTTGCTCTATTTTTGGCCTGTTCTTTAGCAACTTCACATTAATTCAGTCTGTTTGGAGAAAGTATTGCCGTATGTACATATAATAGCTGTGCTTTTAAGGCTTATATACAAACTTATTGTTTAGTTGCTTTCACAAACTGCAGTTTTCAATGGTTATTAAATCATCCAGAAAAGGTATTTTTAATCAAAATGAAACACAGAGGTCTTTAACACACACACAAAAAATCATTTTGACACTAAATTTGATGCAATATGCTTCAACTATCTCAAAGTTATAAATTCAGAAGTTTTTGTGGACGAATTATTGAAACCTAAAAAAATACACAAAAAAACAACAAACAACACACCAAAACAACAAACTTAAAAAAAATAACAAAACAACAAAAAAAAAATAAACAAAAAAATAACAAAAAAGAAACATACACTCAGGAAAGAAAATACATTTATACCATCTCTTCTTCTTCCCACTGTTGCTCTTCTCAAACATCTGCAAACTCCTTCTACCAAAACTTACACAGAATCATAGACAAATTCTCACTGCAAGAAACCCAGTAGGTCTCTGGTCCAATCTCCTGTTTCAGAGCAATGTTAGCTCTGAGATCAGACCAGGTTGCTCAGGGCTTTTTCCAGTCATGTCTTGAAAATCTCCATGAGTGGAGACTGCACAACCTTTCTGAGCAAACTGTTGCAATGCCTATCCTAATGGTGAAAAGGTTTTCCTAATGGTGAAAAGGTTTTTCCTTATGCCCAGTTGTATGGGGTCTGGTTGGAATGGAGTTCATTCTCTTTATAGCAGCCTGTATGGTGCTGTGGCTACAACTGTTTTGATAGTACACCTGTAAATAGTGTGCTATCAAAACCATTGCTGAAAAATGTTTGTACACCATCACGGCCTTCTCTGTTTCTCACTCTGTCACCCTTAGTGGATGAGCTGGAAGTAGCCAGGCCAGCTGACCTGAAATGACCAAAATGAGACTTCTTCCTATATGATGTCTTGCTAAGCAATAAAAGTGGGGTGTAGTCTATCCAAGGCAGCCATTGTTTGGAGAATGGCTAGGAATTGGCCTTTTGGTGGGAGGTGCTGAATGATTGTTTTTCCATCAATTGGGTGTTTTGTTTTTGTTTTCTTCTCCGCCCTGGGCCCCTTTATTTCACTTAAACTGTTTTTATCTCAGTCCATGGGATTTTCTCACTTCTTTGATTCTCTCCCCTATCTTTCTGCAGGGAGTGGGAAAGAGCAAACAAGCAGTTACTGTGTTCTTAGTTACTGGCTAGGATCAACCCACCATACCAGTCTGAACTTCCGTTTTATCAGCTCAGGTCCATCCTCCTGCTATGCACCACTGCAAAGAGCTTGGATCTGTCTTCTCAGGCACTTGCTCAAAACTCCTGACCATCTCAGGGGCAATGCACTGAAATTGTTCCAGTTCATTCATCACAGAATCACAGAATTTCTAGGTTGGAAGAGACCTCAAGATCATCGAGTCCAACCTCTGACCTAACGCTAACAGTCCCCACTAAACCATATCCCTAAGCTCTACATCTAAACGTCTTTTAAAGACTTCCAGGGATGGTGACTCCACCACCTCCCTGGGCAGCCTGTTCCAGTGCCTAACAACCCTTTCAGTAAAGAAGTTCTTCCTAACATCTAACCTAAAACTCCCCTGGCGCAACTTTAGCCCATTCCCCCTCGTTCTGTCACCAGGCATGTGGGAGAACAGGCCAACCTCCACCTCACTACAGCCTCCTTTAAGGTATCTGTAAAGAGCACTAAGGTCGCCCCTGAGCCTCCTCTTCTCCAGGCTGAACAAGCCCAGCTCCTTCAGCCGCTCCTCGTAGGACTTGTTCTCCAGGCCCCGCACCAGCTTCATCGCCCTTCTCTGGACCCGCTCAAGTGCCTCGATGTCCTTCTTGTAGCAAGGGGCCCAAAACTGAACACAGTACTCGAGGTGCAGCCTCACCAGAGCCGAGTACAGGGGGACGATCACCTCCCTAGCCCTGCTGGCCATACTGTTTCTTATGCAAGCCAGGTTGCTGTTGGCCTTCTTGGCCACCTGAGCACATGGCTGGCTCATATTCAGCCGACTGTCCACCATCACTCCCAGGTCCTTCTCTGCCTGGCAACTTTCCAACCACTCATCTCCCAGCCTGTAGCTGTGCTTGGTTTTGTGCTTTGATGACACCAGATACTGGAGGCTATTTTAGATGCAAGGGCTAAATACAGGGGGATAATCACTTCCCACAATCTACTGTCCATGTTCCTCCAGATACAGCCCAGGATGTTGTTAAACTTCTTTGGTATCAGGGCAGACTGCTGTCTCACAATCACTTTCTTATCCATCCAGACCCAAAGGTCCTTTTCAGCAGTGATACTCCCCAGCCAGCCAGTCCCAACCTGTACTGCAAAAAGAGGTCACTCCTTCAAAATTAAAAACAAGCAAACAAACAAACACAACTTTGCACTTGTCCTTGTTGAATTCACAGACTCCTGTTGGTGTCTCTCTCCAATTTGTCTAGGTCCTTCTGAATGGTAGCCCTGCACTCAGATATATAAATAATTTCCCCCAAATTTGATGTCACCTGCAAGCATGGTAAGGGCACACTCCATCTCCATGTCATTGATAAAGATGTTAGAGGGACAAGTCTCAGTGTCCAGAAAGTAGCATCAACTACTAATAATGGATGGTCTGAGCCTGACAATCCAACAAATTTTTACCTGCCTAGCTGTACATTCTTACAGACCCTAGTTACATAAACAATTCCATTTTGTGGATATTACTTTTCTCTCCCACTTTTTATTATCTTATAGAAGTGCACGTAGAAGTACGATATTCTACTACAGCTCTATGATGGTCATATCATAATTAGAGATTACCATTTTTTCTGCAAAGGTTTTCAATGAAACAGGTCCTAAATTCTGGATGTAAGAAAAATTTCTCTACCATAAAGGAAAAGTAAGACTTTTTTTTTTTTTGCCTTTCCTGTTTTCCTTTTAAGAAAGAACATTATTTCAAATGGTAAATTTTCAAATAGATTAGAAGTGTCAGCTTTCCATCTGCAAACCAGAAACCAAAAATTACAGAAGTAGATAAAAAGTGTTCTTGAGGGTTTAATGGAGAAATGTATGAGTTCCAGGAACCCCCTAAATACTACATCTGTTGAAAAAAACTCCATGATATAACTTCTCCCAAAACTAATTTCAATATAATACTTAAAACAAACATCTTTTCAAATAAATCTCAGTTCTGCGAGCAATGAAGATTCTATTGGAACATCAAATAATAAATGAAAGTAATAACCTTTAATACCTTTAGGTATTAACAAGACCCCATAAACATAGAGGCTAATATGTAAACAAAAAATAGCTAGATTCTGAAACAATGTGGGTATTTCTTCTGACCCAACAAAGTACACAAGCAGAAATTCAGACTAAAGTATCATAAAATATTACGTGCTTCACTTGTTCTGGGATAACGTTCAATACCTGGCAGGATCAAGAAAACTATCTTTTCAAACACCAGCAGACAAATCGGATATTAAAAGGACTACGGGGATATTGTAAAACCTGCTAGGAAATGAAAAGGAATTAAGAAAGAAGAAAATGGGCAATATTCCCAAGTGCAAAAATATGAGAGGTTTGGTATATATAGGTACTGCAAAGTGATAAAAAATAGGAGTTATAAATTAAAAATTACCACTTGTAGTATCTAAGTTCTGGACAACTTGCAATATCTAAGTCACTGGACAACTAATCATAATAATGAAGCAGCATTTATGACAAAATCAAAGACCTATAAACAGAGCCATATAAACAGAGCCATATAATCCACGTCTTTAAGAGGAGAGAGGACACCTTTTGCAGCTTTCCAGTCATTTAGAATGTGAATAATATAGATAGATATGGAAAAAAAAAGGCAGGAAAAAAAATAGAGCACTGTTTGCCAAACTAGGTTTGATTAAGCTGAAACTGGAAATTAAGCTGAAACTTAATTAATTGGAAATTAATGATATGATTATACCACTTTGGGGATTTAAGCTATTATCTCGACATGCCACTGTACCATGTTGTATGTATGAATTCATCCAACTACTACTACCTCAAGAATTTTTGGATTTGAACCACCTGTTTTCCCAAACTTAAAACAACAGAAGTCAAGGCCCACAGATATTTTAATATCTGTCTGAAGTATTCCTTGCACTGAAGTCAATGATTCTGATCTCTTTCTTAACATAATAATGTTTCCAGGCAAAAAGCTAAGTAAAATTCATAAGAAAAACATAAAGAACTACACTAAGGGTATATTAGAACATATTTCTGAAAGCAATTTATATTCATCTAAAATACCTACCCAAGTTCAAAAGCCTTGTTTTTCAGTATAAGATTTTCTTCAATTTGAACTTGACAAAGTTCCAGAAAAGTTCTTGATTCTGATCTTTTGATTCTTTCAGTTGTGGGTAAAGTATGATAGTTTAAGTCTTCACCATCAACAAATTGTAAACTAGGAAGTTCCTTGCATAGGTAAGGCCTTAGAAAAGAAAAAGTCATCATTAGTTTTATGAAAAAATCCCAATGCTGTAACTCCAACTTTACTATAACAAGACATAATATTATGATAGTTCTCACAGTATTTGCATATATTTGTTCTTACTTCATATGTTAGTATACTAATGAAAACTTTTTTTCTTAATAAACCACAGAACTGGTATGAAAACGTCACTTTCGTAGCAACATTTCGTAATACATTGTTGGTATACAGACCACTGCTGAAATACCAGACAAAGGGAGGTCAATAACATTCTCAGTTCACTACGTCTAGTAGTTCACCTACTTGAACAGGAAAATCTGACCTGCAATGCATTTAATTAGTAGGCAACACAGCAAACTAAGTCTTAGGATCATACAGAACAGGTTTTGGTGATGCATTTAAAGGCCTAGATTTAAAAACTGCATAGAATACAAAACATTGCCAATCTTCATACCATCGCTACCTGCATATACCGCATAAAGTAATACGATATTCAGCTTGACAGATGGGAAAAAAAATCTACTTTTGAATTATTGAATTTGAGTCTGTGCAAGGGATGACAATAGAGATAACCTTCCTTTTTATGACAAGGATGTTCAAGGCCACTTATGTAAGAATAAATATGCATGAAAAACATAACTACTGTTTTAAAAAAGTGTTATCAATGAGCTCTCTTTTAAGTTACTGCAAAACATAATCTAAAACTGCAACCTTGTTTCACATATTTCTTATAGCAGTCCAAGTTTCTTTAAAGTTTTAAGACTGTGAAAGTATTTAAATCAATATATCAATACTCAGTATTTTCATTATGTTTGTAACACACATGAAAGAACACTTATTATAGGCTATAGGTCCACTTGGTATTAAGAAAAAAAAAAAAGTTTTCAAAATTTGAGAACTCCCTGACTATTCTCTGTGATGGTAAAGGACTAATACTTAGCTCGTATATTATATAGTAAGTTTAAAATTAGTGAAAGTTTTTATTACTCAATTTGAATATTCCAAAATGTGGTTCAACAGAACAGAAAGTTAGTTTTTTGCAAGCAGAACACTTTCCTTTTCTGTTGCCCATTAATGTAAGAACAACACTGCCTGAAATGCATTTCAAATGAAATGATGGGTTTAGATGGATTCCATTAATTCCTCCCTCAACACACACGGAGGAATTACCAAAGCTAATGTTTAATAGTGATACATTAAAAAAGTGCCATATCAAAGTTGATGGATGCTGGAAGCATTGTGTCTTAGAGCTATGGGATCACAACACTAGTTTTTCCAGCTGGGTTTCTCCTGGTGAAGGGCTGAGTCAATATTTCATTTAGTGAAAACTTCCTGGTGAATATTCTGTCACTTACAAGGCTCTATTAATCATTACAGCATTGAAACACATTCCCTTAGGAGTGCTCAGACTGATCCAAGAGTTTAATTTTTTAAAAGCAATTTCTTACTACTTCACTTTTGTTGGTGTTATCGCTGGCTGGACATGAAAGCACAAAACCGATTGGGAAATTTTACAACCAATTCCTTTGTTGGTATCAATGGGTTATGTAAAGTTCACTGGAATTTTGCCTTCATATTGCCTGAAGTTACGGTCAATGCTATATTCAGTAAACCCACATCTTATCGTATCCCATACTTCAAATCCTTTAGACAAATGAATCTCTTGTCTAATCATAAAAGTTGTATTGGGTCAAGCAAGCTAAAGTGTCCGTACATGTAGTTAAATAGGAATTCAGAAAGCTTTTCCCCTTAAGGTTACAAGTGAAGTACCAGTTAGTTGTATAAAATAGGAGGAATTAAAACAGTGCAAATGGGAATTTAAGATATTGTCACAGACACTGAACTTTATTCATAAAATTATGTGCATGAACAATGGGAATCCAAATAAGTCTGTTCACTGAAAGGAAAAAAGAGAAAACAGAGGAATTTATTTGTACAGCTATCAAACATGTACCCTTAAAAACTGCTGTTCTGCTCAGGTAATCTAAAGTACCAAATTAAACACATTCTTGTGTAACACTGCAATGTAAGACCTCACATTTAACTGACTTGAAATTAAAGAAGGACCAATTTTGATTCTAAAAAAAATTGTTGCAGAAATGAACAGTAAAGTAATTGTTTGTAAAAGTGATCCTTATATACTCCTATACACAATGACATGGAACCATGAATGTGGTATTTATCACATATACCTTAAAACTACTAGGGACACATTTCCATAGTTTGAACAGAAATTGTTCAGATCTGAGAATTTAAGAAAAGGATCTGATCACATATTGGTAAATAATAATAATTTTATAGAGTACAAACTGATAGCATTTTTGATAAAAATGGGCTGAAATATATTTTGAATGCTTAAAAAAAGCATAGTTTTAATCAAAATCTCAGTCACCTGTTTTAATTACATCTGAAATAAAAGGTTATGTTCTATTTCATATCTTTAAGCATTTTACTATGTTAGTACTTTCCTATACTATTACTTGATTTCCTTATCTGAAACAATTGGTAATAATTTAAATTCATATTGATTAAAAACTTTGTACATTTAATGGAACCACTGTAACAGTTCACTATCAGACAGACATTCTACCATTTCAATATATGAATTCTGGATTATCACCTAAAAATCTGAAATTGCATTTGCAACTTTTCTTACTGCTCTCCAATATCTGTGGACTAGGAAACATTAATTCTAGAGAAGATAGATAAACTTTACATTCAAACAAAACAGGTACTGTACTTTTGCTAAACAGTTCTTCTAGAAAACTAAGTATTCATAGACTGGTCTACATATATGGTTTCAAACAATATGATTACCAAGAATCCAGAAGACTTTAAAAAAACAAAACAAAACACAAAACAAAAAAAAAACACAACCATAGCATACTAACAACCTATCCATGTGTAATTTTCTTAGTAAGGATTCCAAATGCAATCCTATCACAACTACTCATTGTGGGATTGTAATGACCATATCACATTACACATGTTAAGTTTTCTTTCTACCCCAACCAGTTCTTACATAAACACATATAATAAGTCTCTAAGACCAGTCCTTCAATTACAATTATGTATTATAGATCACTAGAAGGCAAAGAACAGCATTATTTTTACATCTGCATCTCTTTCAGTAACATAAAAGCAATTAACTTTTGGTGTAAATATAAGGAATTCTCAGAACAGGAAAAGAGATCACAATGACTACTGAAAAGAAATCAACCATTCATCCCAATTTTTTATTCCAAAAACTCTTCCTTTAAAGTTGCTAAGTCAAGGATTCCTTTATACAGATTATTCCTAATTAAAGACATCATCCTTTGTTCACGTGTAGGTTCACATGTGCAGTGTGAACCTACCACATCAGCAAGTCTGTTAAGCAGAGGATTTATGAAACGGTGAAAGGGAGTAAATAAGAAAATTATTTTTCAATACATTGTTTACATATTATATTATATATATTATATTATGAAATAATACAATTATTTTTCAAAACAGCAAAGAGGAAGAGAAACACTCTAAGAAGCTATGTGATGGATAGCCAGGAACTGGTGTTTCTGAGAAGGGCAAGTAAGTAGTGTAAGTATAAGTAATCAGAAAGAGAATAGTAAAGATTTAAAATAGTGCAGATGTAAGAGAAGGTGAAGAAGGATGAATGGATGGTCACATCTGCGCAAATGTTTTAATGAAATATAAAAATTGATAATAAAGGTGAGACAAAAGCTCATTCAGAAAGTTAAAGTCACCAAAGGTGACTTGTCAATAAATATGACAAGTAGAATTCATGCTGAAAACAACAATATTCTGGATAAGTCAATGGACAAAGAAGTTACAAATTAGCACCACAAAGAAGGCATTTATTTATATAATTTCTACATTTGTCTAAAGAAATTGTCATATGAAAAAATACTTTAGGATAGCAGTGAAAAAGCACAGAGTTTTGGAACAAACCACTTCATACTGAAGCTCCAAATGCTTGGCCAAATTTCAAGTTTTTTTTTTTTTTTTAAACAAAACTACAAACTAGAATTCTCAAGAAAAAAAAAAGATCACAGAATTCAATTCCATTTTTTCTTTTCATATAATTTTCTTCCAGCTTGTGGTAGTGTCTGTCCATACCTCATTTCTTTTGTATATACTTTCACTGTTCATTTTCACTTATTTTTAAGTGCCAAATTTTACTGGTTACAAAGCTTCCAAAAATAGATTTGCTTGGCATGGATAATCATAGAATCATAGAATGGTTCTAAAGATTCTAAAGACCTTAAAGATTGTCTAATTCAAATTTCCCTGCCATAGGTAGGGACACCTCCCACTAGACCAAGTTGCTCAAAGCCCCCATTGAAACTGGCCTTGAACACTTCCAGGGATGGAGCATCCACGCCATCTCTGGGCAACCTGTTCCAGTGTCTCACCATCTTCATGTTAAAGAATTTCTTCCTAATATCTAATCGAAATCTACCATTTTTCAGTTTAAAACCACTAATCCTACTCCTGTCACTACACTCCCTGACAAATAGCTCCTCTCCTGCTTTCTTGTAGGCTCCCCTAAGGCACTGGAAAACTGCTATAAGGTCACCCCAAAGCCTTCTCTTCTCCAGGATGAACCTATATCTGACCAAAACCAAGAATCTAAAGACACAGGGACCTATTTCATCAGAGTAAAAAATTCAGTTGTTCATTCGCTGGACACTTCGAAGATTATTTTTTTCCAAGTTATTTCTTGTCATTATGGGAATGGGAAGGAATGAAACTATATCTCCATGTGTTAATATTAATCTATACTCTTAAATCTGTAAAAATGGTGACTGCAAAAGTAGTTTTCTGTTTTGTTTTGTTTTTATAAATCTAACCTGTTTTCTTGCATTACAAATCTTTGAATATAAAAGGACTGCATCATGAAACTTCTTCATGATAGAAGTTTCTTGTGCTTTTACACTTGATTGCCATGAGGACTCATTTTTAATTTAAATGATTGTGTGTTTTGCATTTAAGCTCTGAAAAAGGAATTAGGGAAAGGAGGAAGAATTGTGGTGAAATAGTTTTGAAAAACATTAGACCTGGAGCAGCTCAATTTTCAACCAAATCCTTGCACACAATGGAATGGAGTAAATTTGACCCTGCATACAGTAAAGAAAAAAGGATATCCTTTATATACATCAAAGTAAATGGAAATGTTCATCTATTGCTTACATAGAGTTTATTTTTAAATAATAATTAAAATATTATTAGGCTGGTATATACTTTGTAAAAGAAATGTAAATTTATATATAATGTAGTGACTTATTCCCTCAAATTAATACCAAACAAATGTAGCTATCCCAACAACCTGGACCATTTTGTGATTCTTCTCCAGTTTCTCCCAGACAGTGAACAAATACATACCTTTTCTCATTTAAATTTCATTTCTTTGTTACCCATCATGAAGTAAAATCAAAGTAATGACTGTGGCTGACATTTGATGCCTGATGCAAGAAAAAAAGGAAAAACAAACAAACAAAAAACACCACCACCACCAAACAACAAACCCTCTAATGCTAAGAGATGGACCCTTTTAGTGAACAGAACAAGCTGTGGTCAATTTACATCTTATCTTACATTGTGACCAAATAGGCTATAGACTTTCTAATTTCTCTACTGGTTCTAGAATATGGCAGGCAACTGCTCAGACAGCAGAACAGATTTCTCTCCCTTTTGCTCATGCTGCAAAAAATCCAGTGGATGATGGTAGAGCTTATCATGAAACTATGCACTTTAGATCAACAAATCTCTACAGGCTGAGTATCAAACTGAATGATTTTTCTTCCTTTAGCTGCAGAAAGCACTATTTTTATCCACCTCTTTTGCTCTCTCAGAGCACTCACTGTATGCAACTGGATAATCTTAATTGTACTCAGACTGCTCTTTAAGCATTTGTATGCTAAGAAGGGAAGAGAGGGATCAAGAAAAGGCAAAGGGAGCCCTTTAAACAATACATAACATTAAATATGGTGCAGGTATTTTCTTGTCCTAAAACGCATTTGAAAACATGAGAAAGAAAGCAAGTAGATGATGGCAAACAGTTTGAAGGGAATAACAACAGTTTGCAACTGAAGATACAGTCTTAACTCCTTTGCTACTGGCACTGTTCATTTCTACTACAGAAATGCGACCCAACATTATTAGCCCCACAGTCGGGTGGCGTTTTTCCACAGTTCTGGAAGAATCTCTGGTCACTATTCACATAGAAAATAACTAAAGATTGAAATTAATTCCTAGAATGGTTCATAATCAATTATTAGAATGGTTCATACTTAAAATAATGTATATTTCTCCAAGATGGCATGCAATACTGGGTCTCTAGCCATTCTTATGGCCACATATTTACATATGATTCTTTTATTAAGGAGACAGAAGAAAAGATGGAAATTTACAACTGATAGTTTTTCCCTCATTCACAGAAGTACAGCTCAAATAAAAATCTCTGAGGATAAAATTGCCCTAATATTTTTTCACATGAAAAAAAATATTTTCATGTGAAAATATGAAAAAAAATATTTTCATGTGAAAAAATATTAGGGCAATTTTATCCTCAGAGATTCACATGAAAAAATATCAATCCTTTCAATTAAAATTGTATTTACATTTAAAAAAATGTTAGTGCACCTATATAACTACCTACATTGTGCATTGTCACTATTGTCAGAGGCCTGGAAAAATTACACTAGAACTATTTTCATAGTGCATATAACTGAAGAGCGATCTGAACATTTATTTAGTGAACTATAAATTTAGGTTATTTTGACAAAACAAAACAAAAAAATATTTTCTAACCGGCTTTTTATTTATTTATTTATTTTTATTCAGCAAATCAATTTATTTTCTTACTTGCAATTCCTTTCTTGGAGAAGAGGATTTCCACTGAGCAACAACTCCCTTAGATTATTGCAGCCACTTAACCATGCAATGACACTTTTAAGGTCTGTATTGTAATAGAAAACAAAATTAAATATCAATTTGAATGTAGAACCATATTATTTTACTTAAAATCACAAATAGTACCAAAACCATGTAGAATTATGAGCAACTCTATTACATGTACACTACAGTTATTATCAATACGTATAACATCCATATTTGAAAAATATTTATGTTTTCTGTATGTCTCATAAATAATATTTGAATTTTATAAATATATTTGGAACAATCCAAATTCAAATGAATTTATAATTTATTTAAGAACTTCTAGTTTGGATGGGCATTTGATTTATGTTTTCTATACAACTCACCTGACAAGCAGTTATTTTTGATGTCCAGCTTTTCCAAAGATACAAACGAATTTAAAGGCACAAGCTCAGTTAGACTAAGAACAAAACAGAAAAGTTTATTTTTAATTAAAGAAAAGCAGCAGCTCATAAACAGGCACCAGAATCTTTTACAGTTATATCAACTTATTTATTTACATGAGAAAATACTCATTTAGCTATCCAAGGTGCTAGTATTAATTACTGAAATTCCTCCTTTATCTTCAAAGCATTTCTTATTCTTCTCAGGAGGTCACTTTTTGTTTGTATGTGTTACTGGTTTTGTTCAATTGGTAAATATTTCATTCTATTTCTCTTAAATTTAGTTCTGAGGATCCAAAGTATTGTAAAATTTACAAGTTCAATTGGCTTTTCTTTAGTCAACTTGACTAGAATAAAACAGAAGGCCCTGATTTTGGAGACAAAAATAAAATCTGCTTTTCCCCTTTCCTTTTTCTTCATTTATCATACTTCTTGTCAGTTTGTTTCTCTTCTCCACTCAGCACTCTCCACTGCCTAGACCCTAAAATCAACATAATTGTTGCCAAAGTTGTATTTCTTAACCATTCAAAGCTGCACTGTCCTGTAAAAGATTTTTAGCACTTCCTCTGTCTGAGTACAGAAGTAAGACAGTGTCACAGAAGTGTCAGTTATACAGACAGCTACAAAATTGCACTTCTTGCCTATCAGAGTTTTTCTTGTGGAATAAAGCAGCAAAGCAGGGCTAAAGCCACTATAAAATTCCTATTTGTAGTATTGAAGAATAGATGAGAGAAAACAGATGACATTCATCTGTACAAATGATACGGACTGTGAGATGTGTATTACCATAACTATTAAAATCTTTATTATCCATTATTATTAAAATTTTGTTTAGTTACAAACTTGCATTGGTGTAACTACCAGTAAATGTTAAGCTATTCAGTCAGCTGTTTCCAAATATTACCTTTCAGATTTAAAAGTTACTTTTATGTTAAATATAAATGGAGGAGGAAAAAAAATAAAATAAAGATGTTGAAATTGTGTTAAACTAAAACTAGAATGTTTATGTATAGACATACAATAAACAAACTATATCTGCTGAAAAACTTACTTTTAAGTAATTTATTTCAATTCTGTAAGGACAAGGCCTAAGCATAACAGGAGAATGGCATCACACATGGCAATGCATGTGTTCACTTTGTAACTTAATTTTCATGGAAAGCAGTATTTTCTGAGGGTAATATTTATTACCTTTGAAAGCTATAGAACAGGGTTCAAATGGTCGCAAATATAACCATTAAAAATCCCAAACTTACTCACTTCACAAATTTACAATTGACCAGAGCCAAAAATACTATTCTGTTGTTGAAATCTGTTCTCCAGCACAGGCTGGAAAACATTACAACTGAAAGACAAAGTTGGATTTAATTCTGGTTAACAAATTCTGGACCAAGTCTGGTCCAGATTCGGTTGTGGATTCTTTATTCTTGATGGAAATTGTTTGTTTTCCCTACTATATGCCAAAAAACAAAAAACATTCTAATAGTAAATTCAGAGAAATGGATATAAAGTCAATTGAGTATGTGCCAGTATACTTTCATTTCCCTCTCACTCCATATTTTAAAGTTGTCCTTGTTCTAATGCTATTTAGTTCAATTACCTCCCTGTCAGTTTTCCAAAGTATCAAATAAATGTGAAGAAGCATTAACTCTAAAAACCATTAAGCATCAAATACTCTTGTACACACTGCAAAAAGTATCAGCATTTTAGGTTCTTAAGACAAGTCAATAGCACATAAATATTTTTAATATTTGTAACAAATATCATTATAGATAACAGTGGCAAACACTGACTAAAAGACTAAAATCCATAATACATATTAAAGATTCACATATTTAGGAATATCAGGGAAATAAATGACATAACAAGTATGAGGGACTTGCACACTAAAAAGCCTTTCTTTCTACAAGTCATAATGGATTTTTTATTTTATTTTTAAAGTGAGTTGGTTCAGGGGATTTTTGTCTGTATACGCTGTGGTGAATTAGAAATTCTATTTGACTACTGGACTATCCTTGCCTGCCGTTGGCATTATGAGAGTTAAAACATTTCCCCGTCATTCTATAGCTTTCCTTTTACTGACATTCTTTGTTAATTTTTTTCCTAAGAAAATTCAAACCAGAAAGACAAAGGACATTACTGAAAACTTAATACTACTTGACCTTGTCACATTAGCCCAGGGCATAAGAGAGATATAAATTACAAAGAAGACACAAAAGTAAAAGATATTTGCAAAAAAGAAAGCTATAGCTTCCTCTTTCTGCTCCCATTTAAGACTGTAGCAGGACAGGACACAGATAGCCACAGAAACTATATGTCAGAAAACAAGATTTAAGAGCCTAGAATAGTTGTAAGTATACACCAGAGAAAATAAAGATTGCTTTTTTAAACAAAAATTTTTTAAACACAAACTCTTCAGGATGGTCCAAATCTTGCTGTGCATCAGTTTTTTCCCAGAAAGTTATCACTGATGTTAATGAGCAATAAGGAGGGAAAGATAATTAAAACAAACTTATGTTAATCTAGATCTTTAAGTAATGTTTATTCCTCTTTCATACTTTAAAATGTTATTATTTTTTAACTTGCAATACAAATTATTTACAAATATTGCAAATATGTTGCAATATTTGCAACATATTTGATGTTGAATCAAACATAATACAGGAAATCTACAAGTCACTTGTTTCCTGAATACTCTGTTAGGCAGTATACTTCATCAGTATTGTCCATGGTGCTACACTCTTAGAAATAAACACATGACCAGTGAAGAATTACTGAAAATGATAAACAAATCTAGACCAATAAGGGATGTATGTGGATGATGACAATATAAATACAGTATACATACAATATAAATACAGGACAGTTTGTTCATGATTGACTGAATTCAACATCCAATGACACTTATATGTATTGTGACAGCTCTGGAAAATCTGTCAAATTTTGAAAACAGAATGGCTTACTGTCACTGTAAGAAATTAAGTTAAAAACACACATACCATGTATATTGAAGTGGTGAGAACAACATGTATCAAGAATTCAAAATTCAGCTGCTTTTAAGCATTTCTATAATAAGCCTATTAAAAATGGCATGTATTTAGTTGCAAAAATGTGAGCAACAAGTTCACAAAGAATTTGATCCTGGTCAAACCAGTTTTCCCAGAAAAGGAATTTTTGCAGCTGCCTGCATTTTTTTTTTTTTAATATTAACTTCTTATCTTCCACACTTAGGTTAGAAAACAAAACAATAATAATAAACCTTTGGAATATTATAACAGAAACTAAGAGGGATACATTTGTCCATTCTCAAGTTGCACAAAAACTGTAAGGACTACTTGAACAGTAGATTGATTTGGTGTCTCACTGTAAAAGTTTTATATGAAGAAATTAATGAGTAAGCTACATAATTGTAAATACATGTAAATATAAATCTCACATGAATTCTTACTGCATATTAAATATGTAAAAATGTTAGTTCCAGTGGAAATATTTTTCTCTCCTACACCGAAACCTTTATCTACCGTATAAAAAATAATCCTATTTATACTAACTTATTGTTTGTGTTCTCCAGCTGCTCCAAAAGAGAGCACAGATCTTCATAGTCCCAATTCTGCAGTAATCAAGTCAAGAGGGTATTCACCTTGTACATTGACCTGCTATAAGCTTCATACATGAAAACCACAGCAAAACACTTAATAAAAGCAGGGGTGGTAATATGGCTGCCATTTTTATATTTGATGAACATGTAGATGAACATTTTTATATTTGATGAACATCACTACATGCCATAATTCCTTGTTGCTATATTGTAGGTTTAAAACAATTAATTTGGAGTTTTATCTTTAGCAATTTTAGGGTTTATGACACAGACAAAATATCTCAGAAACAAAAAATATTGTTTATTTATTTATTAAATTAGCATAAAAATTTTCTTTTTATAGTACTACATTTAAAAAAAAAAAAAACAACAAAAACAGATTCACAGTATTAGCACTATATGGGCTTCCTGTAACTAGTAAAAAGGAAATGGCTCTCAATGTACACTTTAAAAACAAAAATAAAAACAAACAAAAAAATCCAAAACCCATAAAACTGCACTAGCTATAGGATAAAAGTAAAAAACCAGTTTTTCTTTCAACAGCTTGCACCATTATATTCACTGTTGCTATATAGAACATCAATTTACTTATGTTATAGCACACACATATGGAGATGCTTAGAAGTGTACATAAAGTCAGTGCAACAAAGCATGCTACTGAAATCCCAGGAATCTAGAGGCCTTTAATGTGCATTTAAGGCTGTCTTGTCCTGTTTGTCCCAAAGATTTGAGATAAGGTATAGATACCAAAAGGAAAGAAATGGATTTTTTTGTTGTTGTTATTTGTATCACATCCAGTTTGCTCATGCATAAATACATGCTTTCTCCTATTTCAGCAGACGACATTCAACATCTCAATGCAGGCACTGGAAAAACAAAGTAAGCATTGGAATGGAGAATAAAAAACATTAAGATCACAGAATGGGCAAGTGGTACATCTACATGGCCAGCCCAGCACGACCTAGATCTTGAGGCTGAATTCAAGCTATGGCTGAAACTGGGCTCTTAGGTCTGCTGTCTCACCAGCAGGCACATTGGGTGTTCCAGCAGTCACATCTTAATGTGGGAGGAAAAAAAAAAAAAAAAAAGAAAAAAAAGAAAACTACAAGAAGGTAAGAGCCACATTCCATATTATACAGGAATTCCACATTCCTGCCTGTTCCATAAAAAGCTGAACAGGTCAGGAAAAAAAAACAACAAAAAGACAAAAAAAAAAAAAAACACAATGAAAACGAAAGAAAAAGCAACAAGAACAAACAAACTAAAAAAAAAGAAAAAAGAATGAAATCAATACGTGTGATTTGGAGTTTTACACTTAACAGATAATGACCTTGCTAGGCACAGCCATGAAGTTTCTCCAAACTCCAGAGGAACTTAAAAAATCTAAAGAGCTTTAAAACTCAAGGACTAGATTCTGTAAATATAAATAACTAGGTGTTATATTTCCATGTATGAACTTACTTGCATTCTACTTCGTTAGAGATGATTGAAAACAACCTGTTTATAAAAAGTTATAAAAATATAGGTTGCATTTTCTTAAATAGCATTAATTTTCCATAAAGGGCATTCCTTGTAAAAAGGACTCAGACTTATAGATCTGTTATACCACAGGCTCACAGATATAGTTGACTGCTGAACTACTGTCACCAAGGATGGGATTCTTCTGTTCATATGTAGACAAACCAACATGTGAGCTAATGGTCCAGGCTCTGTCAATAGTCAGTGAAGATGTACAGTCACTTGTAGGGTGTGGTTTGTCTCAAAGAAAATGTCTAGAAATGGTAGATGAATCACATGCTAAAACAACTCCTCTTCATTAACTCGAGTGCTGAATGATTAGTTCAGAGTGTATATTCAGTGTAGCATGTGTGCAATGGTATATTTTGTGTGTTTAGGTGAGAAATCCCTTTCAGAGTGAACACATTGCAATATGGAAAAAAACAGTAATTTACTAGCAAAATTCATTTCACTACCAACACAAAGTAAACTATAATTGTACCTTTTTAATTTATTTTTTTGTTAGCTCAATGTAAGTGTAGGAAAGGGTTGGTAGGCAAAATAAAATAAAAATCAAGATTTTGACTCCTGAAAATACCATCATTCTAATTCTACAGATGTACAAAATATTTTATAAAATGAAAAAGAAAGCTGATTATATAGTACTTCAACACATGATCTGGTTTTATACTGCTTGTCTTGACCTCACTTTATTTTTCTGTATCTTCGAACTGAACCGTAACAGTTAAGAATGAAAGCAGATATGCAGTACTGACATTTGGTTTTGGGGACATTAATATATCATGTATATGAAATAAAAAACAGCCTAATGAACATTCAAACTTGTAGTATTTAGGTCTAGCAGTTATACTTAAAATAGCCTTCAAAGTCTGTTTTGAATAAACTAGATGAGAAATATGAAGTTTGACAGACAAACTCTAGAAACAATTGCTAAAGAAACACCATGGTTTTAATAATGCTGCAATGCTCAAAAATTATTTTCATATAACCTCTAATAGAAAAAATTACTTTTCATAGTTACTGCTGTTTCAAATTTTCTTAGCTGAAGGTGGCCGATGCTATTACTTGTCAACCACATACTTTCAAAGTATGGAAAAGATGGTGATATTTTAAGCATACTGAGAATTATACTTTTTAGATAAGTGTATGAAATTCCTCTGTATCAACTTCATAAAGGGAAAAGATTTCTTGATTACCTATTTTGAGACAGTGAAAGAATCTGCAACAGAGGCAACCAATACAAAGGAAGCATTTTCATAGCACAAATGCTATTGTCATCCAAATATAGTTCTCTTAGCAGAACATGATTTTCCAGCCTTGGAAGCTAAATAGAGAAGAGAAGGTTATTTAAAATTAATGTAAATTAGAGAAACAACAATGGAATGCTTACCATCTGCTTTTCATCAATCATTATTAAATGTAAGTAAAAAAACACATTTTGTATATATGTATCATCTTCTTATTATGCATATTATGTGTTAAATATTTTTCAATGTCCTCTATGTAGTCTGAATAGTCAATATAAATTAAAAAAAAAAAAGTGGGGAGTCAAGAGCCACAATCTTACTACTTTATTTGTGCTGATTATTGAAAATAGTTTTCAGCTCCCATATGCATAAAAGAATCCTTGGCAGTAAAGATTATTATTTGTCCATTTAGCAAACTACTTTTCTATTATATATGTTGCAGCAAAAATTTCAACGTCTGGAGAATCAGCATTCATGAGATTAACCTAAATTACTACTTATCTTTAATGACAATAGTACTTCACATCATTTTAAACAGAGAATAACACATAAAACAAGGAGGGAAATATAATAATTGAAGGGTCAATTTTCCAAGGACTTAGGAACAACAAAAAACTTTACCACTGCTAGCCATTTTTACCTTTGAAAAATCTCTCTCTGAAAGGAAAACATAACAAGTCAAAAAAAAAAAAAAAACACAACACAAAACAAACAAACAAAAGCACCCCAGGCAAACAGAGCATTCTGAACATTCTGAATAACACTACTGTTAACAAAGATGTATGTACAATAAACATCCACTTAATTCAAAGCTTTTACCTCCTGTAGATTATTGCCTTGTAACTTCAGAATTTGAAGTAGTCCACAACTCTCAATGCCTTCAATTTGTGTGAGATGATTAAAAGAGCAGTCTAGGTGTATGAGAGTAGGTGCTTCACAAAGACCTTTTGTGTTGATTAATTGATTATGATCCACATTTAATTGCTGAAGGTTTTTCAGTGACTCCAAACCACCTGAAAATTAAAGGTGTTAGCTGAGTTAAACCATCCTGAAATAATAATATATAAAAGAAAAATCTGGTTTTCAAGTACTAAGAAAATTCTTAAGTTTCAACATATTCATATTATATATAGTAACAATATTAATCCTATACTTTAAAAAAAATACTCTATTTTGACACGATCAAATATGCAGCGCGTACAGGTGATAAACTTCTGATCCAATTAACTAAGCAATAATAATAGTTCACAACCCCTTTAGTACTTCTGTTGGAACAGAACATTCTTTAAATTATAAACTATGCTTACTGTGCTTGAGGACTTTATAACCTATCCAGAATCCATCAGCTCTATGAAACACTGACAGCTCTCTTAAGATCACCCCCCAAAATGGAAACAGTATTTCTTTAAAAGTTAATTTTAAATAATTAATTTTAAAATGTTTTTAGAAAGCTATCAGCAAGGTGAGAATAAATTGTATTAATACCTAGGGCAGGCCAGCATTATTAATATAAATGCCTCCTGTTTAAGTATTTTTTTAACAAATAAATGAATAAAGAACCTTTATGAAGTACCTTTAAGTATAAACCTACACTTCTACAGCCATTATACTCACAACAAACTTACTCTTACCAGCTAAAGAGCAAGAATGTGTGATCTCTCCTACAAAAAGATGCAAAGGAAAAAGCTCTTTTACCCATATTTATTTCAGAGTTTCTCACAAATCGTTCTCTTACAATGGTAAAATCATACTCATTCCATGGTCTTACTATATGCTAGATGTTCTGTGATGGCTGCCTTTTTGGAGTACCAATGTGTCTGACTTGCTACAGGTCAAAGCAGTTTTTTCCTATATAGTAAAGTATAGTAGTAAAACTTCTGTGAGGGGGTATGCCTTTAAAAAACGTATTAAAAAAAAAAAAAAAAAAGGAATTGCTGATTTTACACTTCTTTCAGGTATTCCTCATAGGATTGTTTTATGTAATACTTCACCTCAGCTTTATGTCAACAAAAGCTTCCCAAGTTCCCATAAGCAAGTTGGGCAAACTTTGCAGAAGTGAACGTCTTTGTGATTATCCTCTGAGAATCAATTAGATTATAAAACTAAAGACCACATTGCCACTGAGGAAATTCTTTACTCAGAGTGGTGAGGCACTGGAACAGGTTGCCCAGAAAATCTGTGGATGCCCCATCCCTGGTAGTGTTCAAGACCAAGTTGGACGAGGCCCTGAGCAACTGATCCAGTAGGAGACATCCCTGCCCATAGCACATAGTTTGAATAACATATTCACCTGAAAAAGCATTGAATATTAAAGAGATAACATCCTATTCCTAAAACAAATGTTATATATTCTAACTTCAAAACGGTGCTTCAGGAAATAAATATACAAATCTTTAATTATTCTGAAAGAATTTCAAACATACAGGACATACTATCCTGATTGTAAGATCGTGTTTGTATTTTCTCGTCCACTTTCCCCGCCCCCCCTTGGATAAAAACAAAAAGGGAACTAGCACCATCTAGTGGTCTCAAAACAATTTCCTTTCAGACAGTATTAACAGCTTCCAAGACTTCCTCAGAACAGCAGTCTTTACATTTCCACTATTAAGTTAACAGCATAGGAGTACTGGTAACTTTAAAAGCACTGAATTGCCATGGAGTGGGACCGAGGACAAACTACACACAGAGTAAGAAGAGTCAGAGTTAATAGAGGATCTGGAAATTTCATATTCTGCATACTGCACTAAGCACCTTTTTTTACATCTCCTGTCTTGTTTAATTAGACTAGAAGTAATTCTAAACAGACATGCCCAGACTACATACAGTGGCTGCATACAGTGGTTACAAATTGCTATGCACAGCTCCTGTCTATTAGCTATTGATCTTTCGAGGTCTCTTCCAACCCCTTCAATTCTGTGATTCTGTGAAAGCAGTTCTAAAGTAACTTCTAGGTGCGATAACGATGTGCTTTCTTAAAAATAATAATTCCAAAGTGGCATTTAAGAGTATTTAAGAGTTACTCATTGCTATTCTTAGAACTACTAGGATTTTAGCCTACATACTACAACAGACATCCTGAGAAAGCATGTTCTATAATTAAAGTCAAAATGCTAGTTTTTTGTGTAAGAAAATTTGTACACAAAGCATCCATCTTCCAAATATAAATGCACTGAAATTAAGTATATTGCTGACACGATTTTTCCACTTAAGTTTGTGAGCATGCAACCTTAAGTGGAAAATCATAACAGACATATTTATTATACTTTTACTGTTATGTTAAGGGTTTTCTGGCAACTCTCATTTTTCCCTCTACTGATGCTATATTTTAAATGAGGACAAAAAAAAAAAATCAAAAAAAAAATCAGAATGTGCTTGATGTTTCCAACAATAAGTTAATAAATCACAAGTATTACAAAAAATACAAATTTTTTTTTTAGGGGAAACAAAATCACACTCAAAAAACAACAACCAAACAAAAAAACAAATAAACAAAAAAAAAAAACCACAAACAAACAGCACAAGCAAGCCCTTTGTGGAAGCTGAATGAACAGACAACACTGTACACCATTGCAACTGTGAAAGGTAGATTCCAAGCTGATTTTTGTAAACATTTATTTAGCCACTCAAAATCATTAGAAACTTAGTTCAAATAGCACCACATTGCACAAAACAGAAAGTACAAAAGTATTTTTACAAGACTTCCACAGGAAGATACTACATTCCACACAGATGCCACAGTCCTAAATTCATCCACCAATACTACTAATTACTATTACTAATAATTATTAGAGTAATCTTGCAGACATTTCTATCAATGGTACATCTTTATATGTACATATTTACATATGTACATTTATATGTACATATATACATCTTTACATATTATATGGTACATCTGAAAGAATCTTACCCAGCATTGTTGGCCACAAGGATACAAAGCCAATATTTATATTCACTTTGTTTCATCTTTCCCTGTTGGAATATTGATATGCTTTTGTAGCAAGCACTGATATTCCAGCACCCTTATTCACGGGTAATATAAATTCTTCATGAGTATTAATGTTTCACGTGTTTTGAATGTTTCACAGATTAGCAAAAAATATTCAAAATATCAATATAAAACCTGCTAAATTTCCAGACTGTTTGTATGGGTTGGCTTTTTCTTCCCCAAAATTTCCTATTTCTCTTTTCTATACCATTGCCATTTATCACTGAATTGCACTATTCATCTTCACACTGATCCAATTTTGTGTTTTATGTTTGTGGGTTTTTAATGCAATGGAAACCACTTTATTAAAATATTTCATGTGAATGTGTTTCATTCATTAGCTTAAAAACTGTTTTATGTTGTTTTCCCACTGTCCAAGTAGCTCTCTACTACACATACTTTAAAGAGAATTAACAGTCTAAATCAGGACAAAAGAAATCAAAAATTACAGTCTATTTATCTCCCTTCCACTTCCAGCTCAGACTTCTTTCCAAATAATATCTTCAAACTCTGCACAGACCAAAAATACAACTAGAAATTCACCTTTTTAGTCTTCCCAAAACATTTTGCAATTCATACAAAATTGTTTCATCACATGCATTTTCTTCATCATAAGAAAATACAATTTTATTTCAATTAATGAATCTCTGAAGATTTACTTCTGTTAATATTATAATCCTCAAATGATAGTGATCTGTATTTTGTTGGCTTTTACAAATTCCACAGTATATCATGTACTAAAACCCAAGTCCCTATAGCCACAGGGAGGCTGCTAAATCTTGTTCCATTCTATCTGCTGCTCTATCTTCCTGGAGAAAATTTACTACTGTCTTTCTTGAGAGCTCCCTTTCAAGTAATGATCTAGTAATTTACTACTAGCTTTTCCCAACTGTTAATGTTGCTTTTGAGGGACCCCTAATGGCCTTCCCTATGTATATGATTCTCAAATAACAATAAAAGTAACTTCTCCACTGAGGTACAGCAAGGATCTCAGTTATTCTCACTGCACTGCAATTTCCTGACCTTTTGTCAGTTGAAAAGGTTCTGGATCCTCGTTACATTTATACCAAATCTACTTGACAAAAGGCTCACCATACAGTATTTATGGCTTGCCAGAAGCTGACCCACAATATCTACCGAAAGGCACTTCACAGGCAGACAGGGAATAAAACAGGTAGAAAGGTAAATAGCTGTTCACTATATGAAAAATTCCTGTATGACCAACAGGTAACTCCTAGTCCAAAGTTTTTATGTACTGATGCATCTGTTGAGGTGTCTGCAGTTATATGAATTCTACCTGGTTGACTGCAGATAAACGGTATACCTGTTGCCTGCCATCTGTTGAGCCTAAAAAATATAACTAACTGCATCTGTAAATATAGCAGGTGTTGGCATACTTGCTATGCCTATACGATTTGCTTAACTTTATGCTAAACTCATTCTTTTCTCAGCTTTTGACCATTTATTTCTCATATTTTTTCTTTTTTTTTGACCATACTTATTGGATCTGGGGGATGGAATGCATGGCAGTAGCTAAGCCATACTACAAATAAATGTGAATTTGAGTGTGATTTAAAATGCAGGAGTTTTCTAATCCATTTCATCATTCTCCTTGGGCTTAGCACCTGGCTGGCCCGAATCTAAAGGAAGCACAATCCTGATTATAAACAGCACAAATATTCTGCTATACAAATTGGAATAATTTTTCATTAATTTTCTTACCAATTCGAGTGATTCTATTGTAGGAAAGTTCAAGATTTTGAAGATTTATGCAGCCATCTAAGCCACAAACTGATGAAATATGGTTCTTATTCAGAATTAGAATACAGAGATTTTCTAGATTTTCACAGTCAACCATCTCAATGCTGTTTTCCTGAAACAAAGGAAAATAAGAGTATTAATATCATCTGAAGTGAAGCAATGGAATTAAAGTGTAAAAATATGGTAGATTATCACCAGTGTTTATTTTTATCCCAAACTTCTAGCTAGGCGCAAGAACATTTCTATTTTTTTCCATTAAAACAATAATGTGGTTATTTTGCGTTCTACTGGGATTGAACAAAGATATATTTTGCACTGCATTCTGGCTCTGAAAATGCTCAGGGAGGTAATTCTGTTTATTATTTAAAGTATAACATTAAAAACAAACAAACAAAACAAAAAAACAGTTTTGGAAGAGGCAATATTTTATCTAGATATTTTATCTAGATTTTTTTTTGCTTATAAATACCGAATTAGAAAGACTGAAAGTTTAGACATGCATATTATGCTCTCATATTAGTATTTTATGTTTTGAGGTATCCCAAATTAAGAGATCTCAAATTTTACATTCTGAATAGATAAGCAAATCGGGAAAAGGACACAAGTATTTCAACCTACCCTGTTGCCCAGCTCTAATCACTGGACAGACAACACTGCTTTTAATTACATTTATTATCAGCTCTCTTCTCAGAATTATATTATATAAATAGATAGATAAATAAACAAAAATATAGTGGAAAGAACAGCAGTGGCTGGGCAAGTAGAAACATTCAAGACTATTATAGATAACAGATAAATAAGTTAATAATAACTAACTTTCTTATGAATTGGTGTTAAAAGACAAGAAAAAATGTAAAAAGAATTGTTCCATATAAATCATAAAGTTCCAGAGCCAAGGTATGTCATATATCAAAGTGTTTTCCTTAGTCATTAGAAGTTAAATTTACAATGCCTTGATAAGACAATGTACAGTAAAAAGTACCCAGAGATTATGCCTCTAGTAATATGTCATTTCATTCCTTGAGCATCTATATAATTTTCACTAATATCCATGGTGTGTATTGCAAAGGACTCTCTCCTACATACTCCTCCCTAAGCTGTGCTATGGTGAACAGCACCTATCCATTAATTAATCAGACAGAATGAGATAATGAAGATAGATCACCAAGCCATACTAATTCTAGACTGATACTATCATGCACTTTTCTTAGTATACTTTGGCTCTTTTGTGGGATGTTGTTTTAGTAATGCATATTGCTATATAAAACACAAATCTGCTGCTGTAACTGTTCACTTTTGGGAACAGTTGTTGATACTCCTATGCTTTTAAAGCACTAAAGGCTTTTACAGCTTTTATTTGCTGCAGCAGGACCAAATCACAGACTTTGACCTTTTTGAGGTAGAAATGATCATAACCACCTGAGCAGTAAAATCAACAGTTTTCACTCCAGTTATAATAAAGAATCAATTATGCTTGATACCTCCACGTTGATATACTTCAGGTCTTTGCAGCTACTTAGTCCTTCCAGCGCAACTAGACCACAGCGTCTCAGAGTCAAAACTTGAAGATTTGAACACTCAGACAACGTTGAGAGGCTACAAGCAGGCAAATCTTCAAGTGTTAGTTCTGTGACCTACATGTATTTGATGATAAATAAGATTAATTGTTGCTATATGGAACATATCATTATACAATGTCACATGTCTTTAAAAAGAGAGACGAAAACTACTTTTTACTAGAACTTTAGAAAATGCAAACAACAAATATGTTAACTCTTTCATACAGATGGGTCTGATCTGTTAAATAGGAAAATATATTATAAAAACAATGTTTGATTTTAATATCCACACTAAGACAAATAAAACTGATGTTCTACTAAAGATTTTGAATTTGAATGGATAGAAACTAAGAAAAAAAAATAATAGTATGAATTGCTTCACATCACGCTACCATACATAAAGAGAGAGTGTGCAAGAACAGATGAAAATAGTTCAGTCAGAAAGAGTGTGTAGTCCGGTATGTCATCTCAGACTAGATGTGAAAAGGAGAGCACAAAGTAAGCATACAGGGATACTCAGTGCTGGAAAGCAACAGGTGTTCTTTACAGCAAAACACCATCTGTAAGCTGATCAGCAATGTCTTGCTTCTGGAAGAGGCTATAGTCTTCTCAAAACGCTGAAGATAAATGAGCAAGAGATGAAATACAGAGCCTTATACAACGGCAAAACCATTTTAGTTTAGCTGAAGATAGGAGCTGGAAGCTCCTGCCATTTACAGTCTTAAGATGCTGTCAGTCATCTGAAGACACATCAGTCTGCTCCACTGTGCTCACAGGAACTCAAACATCATTCTCATTGCCCTTATCTTGCATTTGTGCAGAGGAACAACTCCCACTACATCCTACCCAACAATAATTTTCTATTCTTCCAAAACAGCATTCTGCTGTAAAAAACAAACAAACCAAACCAAAACAAACAACAATGACACACACAAAAACTAAAAATACCAAAATGTAGTGAAAGCTTAACTTCCCATTTCATTCTAAATCTGTATAGTTACCTGCTGCAGAGTACTCCAAGGGCCACTATGCATTATCTTCTGTATACTTAATGGAGGCATCTTGCTAACTGAAGTTTTCCTTGGTCGTTTTTTAATATTCGATTTCTTTCTTTTGTTTTCCTCATATATTTTAGACCATGATTTACATGTGTTCATCCAATTTATTCTCTTTTTTTCAATATCATCAGGCAGAATTAGTTTATTGGAATGATCAGTGACCTCTTGAATTCTGTCCCAGATCTCCCTGACTTCCTTATTAGCATCTTCCACTAGAAACACAGATTTCTTTGTTGTTCCAGACTGATAAATTTTATCTTTGACTTCTCTATTACCAGCATTTGACTGGGTATTTGATGAATTGCTGCGTGTATTTCCTACCATGTCAGTAGCTCCAAAATTAACAGATTCATGCTTCAAAGTGTTCATACTTGAAGCTTTATCAAGTTCCCTAGTTTGTGAGTAATTTTCTTCTATGCCTATTACTGAATTCATATATATGTTTTCATTATTTACTTGAGAAGAGTCTTCCTTCTTCTCAGAGCTCAGCATATTTGTTGGTGTCAATTTTCCTTCTGTAGGAATCATCCAATTATTTGTTTCATCCATCAGTTCAGTCTGTTTTTCTTTTTGTTCCTCTATTTGCTTTTTTAGTTCCTTTTTCTCTTCTATTATTACTTTCCTATTTTCTGTCTGTTCCTCTTTTATGCTTTCTTTGTTGTCTTCTCCAGTTTCAGTCATCATGGCTTTTGCTATTTTTTCTCTTGATCTTCTCTGTTCTTCTCTTCTTATTTGCAGCTGTTTTTCTCTTTCAAGTCTCAGACTTGCTTTCTTTTTCTCATATTCCTCACGCCTCCTTACCTGTTCCAAATATTTCTCTCTTTCTAGTTCTCCTCGTCTCCTTTTTTCCTCTTCTTTTTTTTGACTCCTTTCTTCCATTTGCCTTTTCATTTTTTCCTCTTTTACCTTAACTTCTCTCTCAATTTCTTCTTGTGTTTTCTTTGCCTTTTGTATTTTATCTTTCCACTCTTTTAAGATAGGACCATATTTTTTATGGACTAAAAGTGTTCTGAATCTAGCTTGGATTTTCACAGCCGCTGTATTCCTTTGTTCTGCCAGGCGTTTTCTTTCTTTTTCTTTCTGCTCTTCAGAGGCCTTTTTCTCCTCTTCCATTTGCAACTGTAGCTTCATGATCAATTCCTATGACAAAACAACAACTGGGAAGGACTTCAAACACTTTTGAAATAAGACATGTATTAGCATAGTTTTACTATTAATAAACAGCATCTGGTTTATTAACTGTTACAGAATAACATTCGTTCTCAAATATGACAGTAGCTTCACAGTATTTGACAAAATCTCATTGTACAACCTTACCTCATGTTGCATTATTTTGTCTCTCCAAGCTTTCTTTTCCTTCTGTAACTCATCTTCCATCACAGTTTGTTGTTTCTGTACAATAAATCAATTAAAATAAACACTGTATAAAACTTATTGTACAAAACATCCTCTCTTCAAACTCCCATAACTTGACTTTACAATCATCCACTTCAGTGAATGTCTGAATTCAGATGAGAAACTCAGGTGTGTGAGTCTCAAAATAAAACTAACACTCTGATCAATAATAGCACAGTTGGTCATGTACTGAAAGATGCGTAACATCAGAGAGTTAGTGTCTTGGTATTTGGCCCAAACAACTGCCACCTTCCTCTATATTGTACTACTTCAAATTTTGCCCTATTATTGAAAATGAAAACCATGGTAATGAAACGAACATTCAAAGAACAGGTACATTACAGCAACAGAACAGAAACAGAAGTTCTGAAAGTAGCATGAAAAATCACTCTGTGATGGTATGTTACTGATAATCCTACAATCTTTCAAACAGGAATTTTGTTCAGTGAATGTACTGGGTCTGGCTGGCAGGAAGTTAACTTTCCCTGTAGTGACCCATACAGTACTGTACTTTGCCCTGATACCACACCAATGTTTTGTCTATTGCTGAGCAGTGCTGGCAGCAACAAGACTTCCTCTAACCCCTCCCTCCACCCCACCCCCCACCCCCTTATCCCCCCCACCAAAGCCAGTAGGCTGGAGGTGGGCAAGAAGTAGGGAGGGGACATCACCAGGGCCGCTGACCTAAACCGACCAAAGAGATAAACAAGTCAAAATGGGAGTCATATTCTGTTTTGATGGAACTCAGTAGATGAACTTTGACTCAGCCTTCCAGACATAGACAAGAAAAGGGAGTATGGGAACTTGTACCCAGATGAAGAACAACCTGAGCTAAATTGAATGATTTTTGTTCAGATTACTTCAAGATTCAGATTTTTTATCTAAAACATGAAATCAGGGGTAGAGGTCAAAAGTATTTTCCAATAAGGCACTGCGACCACTGTTTGTGAGTAATTTAGCACATTTCCAGTACTTTCGCTGGTATCATATAGTAAAAATTCAGTACAGGCAAAGCCTAAAGAATAATTTACTATTTAACACAGTAAATCAATTCACTGTTTATCAAAGAAAACAGAAAAGAAAAAAAAAAAAAGGAATCCCAACAGATGATGGTACTTACGTCTTATGCCTTCCTTTGGTATCACAAGAACACAAGCTGATAGTTTAGGATGGTCATAGACTTTGTGATAATACTCTTTTTTTGCACTAAATCTTGAATTCAATTAATCTAGGCAGCAACAACATATTGGCTTAAGTATCATTAATTACCTTGTGCAGAAGCTCTAACTCCATTCTTTCAGCCTCAAATTCCTCCAGACGCTGCACCCTTCTGGCATGTTCTTCTTCATTCTCTTTTTCCTGTGCTTCCCTCTCAGCTTTCCACTTTTTCCTCTTCTCATCTTCAAGCTCACTTTGTCTTTTCTCCCACTGCTCAAATTCTTGTCTATATTTTTCTTCTATTTCAGGGTAAGTAACGCTTATGCCCATTTCAACATCAGCTACAAATTTGTAATCAACCAAGCAAACATTTAATTTAATTTAATAATTCAAGAAGAGAATAAATGGTACTTATGCATTGGAGAAGAATAAATGGTACTTATGCATTAACAAGAAAATACAACAAAAACGATCTTGTGCTGATATAGCCAGCAATGTATATCCCCATGGAAATTGGAACTACAAGTCTTTTCTATTAGTGATGTCATGATGTATAATCATGATGTACACTTACTATTGCAACCTCAGATTCTGCCACAATCATGCCTATTCCACCAATGCATATATCAGGATTACACATTGGCTTCAGGATAAATGCCTTCTGTGGCTATCAGAAGTTTTTTTTATTTGGTTGTTGTTTTTTTTTTTTTTTTTTTTATAACTGATCCACTCTACCCCAAAATATACAATGGCCATGGTGAAGGGAAACATTGCAATGAGACTATAAAAAATAAAACAAGTTGCAGCCAAAGCACAACATGCTTAGTGCTGCCAATCCAGCTATCACTTGTATTTATTTTTTTTAATAATTATTTCAATCATTCTGGGGTAGTATTTTTTGAAACAGGTTTCTATCAAGACATTGAAAAGAAAGATTGTATTGTGATCCTTAAATTAGATAAAAGCACAAGAATATGTCATGTACATCCAATCCCTGAAGTCTGTTGCATATTGTAACATTAAATTCTTTACAAAGAATATTATGATGCTCATGAAAACAGAAAAGCAGAAAATAGTGATATGATGCTAAAGATCAACACAAACAAATAATGCATTTGCTTACCTGCAACAAAATGGTCATCAGTGACCACTTCTTCATTGGTGGACTGACTGTTATACCTAGGTGTTGTAGCAATCTGCAAATCTTCATTTTCAATTTCAAATAATACCTAATAGGGTTTAATATTGTCATTAATAAACAAGCAATGAAATTTAAAACAGAACATTATTAAAATCCTCCAGAACAAGAATAATCTTCCCATCATATGACAAGTATAATAATATCAAACTTTCTGATGAATAGCATCCTTAAAAACTGAGTAATGCAAGCACATCAGTCAAAAATTGTTTTCCAGAGTAAGAAATACTGGAGCAATTCCCCAAAATCACAGTATTTTGTGCAGCATTATTTATATATAATATTATTATTTTTTAAAATGTATTTTGCATTTTGAACTGGAAAAATATGTGTTTTGCATTTGTTTTATTTTTTGTTTTACTTTCTGTGGAAGTAAGCACTACATTTATGCATCAGTGCTGTTCTAGACATAGCCAAAGAACTAGTTACTTACTAAATTTTTAAGTTGTCTATTTGAAACAAGGTTTGCTGTATTTTTTTTCCATTTATTTATTTTTTATTTGCAAGAAGTAATCTATTCCTGCTTATTTTTGCTTGGGATATACTTGTAATATATATATATATATTACAATATATATATATATATATATATACTTGGGATATATTTGTAATACAGCTGAAGTTATAGTAATTAGAAAAAAAAACACTACAGCAATCTTGCTGTTTTAAACAATGTTCCTCTGAGAATAATAATTCTTCTTCACAAAAAGTGCTCACATTATAAAAGAGGTAACAAATTAAAAGTGATTAAATTAAACACACGTTTGTGTTTTTCTACAAACTTCAGCAAGGTATTCACTTTAATACCATTAAAATATGAAGTTCATAACTCTTGATTTGTCCTTGAAAGTTACAGGTTTTATTATGTTAACATTTCCTATAAAATAACGAGATATATTAGGTACAAGATTACATCCTCCAGTCATCATAAAAATAATAAGGTTAGAGAAGTTTAAAACTATTCTAATACTATTAAGATAATATTCTGGGAATCAATAGCAAAGGATTATTTAGTTGTTTGTTTGTTTTAATTTTGTTGATTTTTGTGCTCAGCATTTCAAGCACTGATAAAGAAAATTGATTCCAAATTTTAAATCTTATAGATACGGTGTATTACAATTGAATCCCAATTCTGAAGAATAACATACACAAACTCAATACCATATGGTTAGTCTAATAGGAATAAAACTTAACACATCTATGTCTCTTCAGGAGGCCAACTAACCGAGCTTAAATTATCTAAATTAATGAATAGAACTTTGTTCACTATAAATATTAATTAAATTAAATAGAGAATACCCTTTCTTTATTTTTTTCGAGATCTTCTTTATATTCAGCAGCCAACTCTGACAAGTGATCTGAAGCATGGCAAGGAACTATGTCATAATTGTTACCTAAAGAATAAAAATATATAATCTAGTACACTGAGAGAAATCGCGTAGCAGTACCCAGTTCTGCTCTAGCTACACTGCTTAGTGTACTTACACTAAGCTTACATTATAAAGAAATAAAGCATATTTTTTTCTTTACTTTTTTTCTTTAAAAAAAAACAAAACCACAAAGCATTGATCAAACATATGTGGGAGTCACTCTTACAGATTAAAAGCAGCAGATACATGTAACTGGAACACGCACAATGATTCTGTACGAACCTAATGTGTGCAAACTATCTGCAAAAAAATTCTACAGCATAAAATGGTGGAACATAGGCTGGGTAGAAAAATACAGGAGAACTTAAAACAGACAGGTCAAAAACTGACAAAAAAATGCAAAAGTAATGAAAAAGAATAACTGCCTATTACAAAAAGGATGAAAAGAAACATTCCCCAAATACCAAACCGTAGAGACAACATTGAACTTTTGTTCACAAAGACCACTACACTAAATAATTTTGAAACCCATGATGCTGTGAATAACTAAAACGGACCAGACAATTCCAGGTGTCTAATATAACTACGAGCTTGGCTTCAGTCACACAGCAGGCACCGGAAGATTGGTCCCAATTACAAAGCCTTTTCATTCAGTGATGGCTTGAATATCTCTACAGACAGACTTTAAACATCCTTTGGGGCTCAATTGTATCTGCGCTTTTAATTTCAGCTCATAGTGACTGCATCTCAGATTCTCGTGAAGAACCTGGCCTAGGTCCTGTTTCAGAAAATGATCCCATAACTTGCCTTGATCTATAGATTAGCATCAGATGAACTTTTAGGAAAAAAATAAATTCATACTGAAAGGTTAACCTGAGAAGACAGCATTGCATGATTCTATTTCTAGAGATTCAGTATGCTTTCAGAAGCTGATGCGATAGGTTTCACTACTTGCTCTACTTAAAAGTTTGTATAGGTTTCACTACCTGTTCTACTTAAAAGCTTGTATTGTTTTACTGATGATTGTATATTGATAATATAACTTCCATGGGCAATATGAGGTGCATACGTATTTTAACTCTGATCCCTGCTTACCTGTAGTTTCATCATCTTCTAAGTCTTGCAGTATAACATTTTCAGCATCTTGATTTCTGTTTTTTATGAAGTCTAAGTAGGAGACAATCAATTCAGGCAAGTCATCTGAAATCTAGAAAAGCATGATGTTTCACATAAATTCTACATTTTCAACTGACTGCCACAACTATATGTAAATACATAATATACAAGAATGTCGACTCCTACAGACTTCTCCTTTAAAGCACTGATGAAAATTTACTAGTAGCTGCTACCAAAATTTTTCCCAGTTTCTGTACTGGGAATTCCCACTCTTCCCATTGCCTTGTCATCCAATCAACAATCAATAATTTTCATTTTTACTTACATTTTAATTAAAATAAAATCAGAACACATATTAGTTACTTATCTTCTGCTATCACCAGAAACATTGTTCAATTAACATTTTCTTTGTAACCAGCTTGGACCAAGAAATTAAGAAAAGCATCAAGGTAAAAATTAACCAATACACATGACACATAGAATCTTCTTCATAAAGATATTACAACTCTTTCAAAAAACAAATCAATTTCAAAATTGGTGATATAAACATTTACAGTATGCATATACACCAGATGTTTCAAATTACTTTATTACATAGATACTTTCTATTCAAATTTCAAAAATTTCAAAATTTCAAATTTCAAAAGTCTTTGCAAGGAGTGGGGAAAATGGACTGTTTTCTCACTTAAGCAGAATGTTGATGCTCATCTCTTTTATTTTCTTGTCACCACTGAAGGTTACATTTTTCACAAAGGCGTACTACTTAGACTGCTTCTGAGGAGAAATCCTCAGGCTTGGTATGTCAGGAAAAAGTTCATTCACTAGTCAGGCCTCCTGAAGCCTGTATTACTTTCAAGCATAAATAAAAGCTCATAAAATACTTACTGTGTCAGAGTCACTCAAAGCTTTCTCTGATACCTCTGCGTTAGGATCATCCGCTTCAAAGGAAGAAACACTGATTCCATCTAATTCGATTTCTATTTCTTTTTCAATTCTTTCAATGTCTTCTGACGTTCTGCTTTCCATAGCATGTTATCTGCTTTCAAAGCTACACAAAGAAAATATCAACTTCTAGAACTGCATGAACCAAAGTAAAGAGGGTGCTCATTTAGCACAAATTTATTGAGATATAGATATTGAACATTAGACTTAGAATATGAAAAGAAATAGCATAACTTTGTTCTGAACACTTCAGACTACTGAGTAAACAAGCAAAATGTAAGAAAAACGTTAGTTTGTGGTAAGAGAATGTCTGGAGCACAGTCCAACCCTAAGCTCGGGGAGGGGAAGCAGCTCACGCCCGCTCCTTCGCAGGCACCGAGCATCCCCGCCGCTCGCCGGGGATGGGACGGATGGGACACGCTGAGCGCGCCTCAGCCTCCCCGATACTACAACTCCCAGAGGGCACCGCGGAAGAGCACCTGCCAACTGCCGCCGCTGCTCCACGGGAGGGCGGGGGAGCGAGCCACCCCTCTACATGCTGGGAGCTGTAGTCCGCCCCTCTGCGCACTCGTTGCCCGCGGGTCTCCGCGACCTGCTCCGAGTGGCTACTCACTCCTCGTGCAGCCACCCTTCTACCGGAGCCAACACCTTCCCGGTCGCCGCGGAGGCAGGCCGATCGGCCCTCCACCTGGAGGTCCCGCAGCCACGAACTGCGGCAATAGGCGAGAGCGCCGCAACGCCGCCGCTGCCCTGGGAGCGTCACCACGGCAACGGGAAACAGACGCTCGGAAGACAAGCGGGAGGGCCCAAACTTCGCCAGCATTCGGCGATTCGCGCCCAGGGTGTGGGGGCGCCCCCTCGGAATTCAGCTGTGCCGGGGTCGTCTGCGAGGGACGAAACACCCCGCCACCATTTCCGTCGTGTCGTTGTTTTTATAATCGTGGACAGGAACTTGGTTTTGAGAATAAATTAGAATAAAAGCAGACCAAAGACAAAAAAAAAAAAAAAAAAAAGTTTAGCAAAGACGAATTTCAGTTTGTATTTTTCCTTCCATTTTATCTTGAGAACTCTATCGATACGGCAAATGAGGCCAGTCAGACAGCTGCGCTTCAGAGGTGTTGTGCTGGGGTCCCACCTTGGTTGGGGACGCTGGCCTGGCTCACCGGTTGAGGCCGAGGTTGAGGTTAAAAAAAAAAAAAAATTTGATAGAAAAAAAAAAAAGAAAAGAAAAAAAAATAAAAGCTTGCATACAAATTACTTGAGAGCTGGAGAAAACATCCAGTCACAGAATTCAGGAGTCCACTGGGGTGGTTTTTGACAGCTTAGTTCCACAAGAACTGCTCTCTCATTTCCTCTCAGAAGAGCATAAGACAGTATGCTGGAAAGAAAAAAAAAAGAAAAGAAAAAGAAAAAAAAGGCTTACAGATTGAGATAATAATTTAATAATTAAAGGGAAAAGGAAAATAAAACAAAAGCAAAGGCTGCGCGGAATCACAGAGAGAAAAAGAAATCCCTACTTCCAATCAACAAGCGGTGTTCGGCCACGTCCTGGGAAGCAGGACCTCAATACGCATAGTGGTTGTTGGAGACGACAGATATCTTCATAACGAGAGCCCATCCCGCTCTTTCCCCTTTCCCACCTTTTATTGCTGAGTGGTATACCATATGGTAGGGAATATCCCCTTGGTTGGTTTAGGTCAGCTGCCCTAGTGATGTCCTCTCCCCACTTCTTGCCCACACCCAGCCTACTGGCTTTGTGGGGTTTGGAGGAAGTCTTGGTGCTGTGCCAGCACTGCTCAGCAACAGACAAAACACTGATGTGATACCAGGGCTGTTCTAGCTGCAAGTGCAGAGCACAGCACTGTATGGGCTGCTTCAGGGAAAATTAACTCCATGCCTGCCAGACCCAGCACATCCATGTCATTCCATCAAGCAGAAGTAATTTAGGTCAGGGAGAGTACAGACAATATAGTTCTAGTGTTCAGAGTCGTATTTACAGGGAAGTATTTACAGTTTGTTCCTAATGCTTGGTTAGGAATGCCAAGGAGCAGAGACATGTATAACATGGAAACGAGAGCTGAAAGTTAGACAGATTTTGCACAGAAAATTCTTCCAGCTCCCAGTATCTTTAAAATAGACTGAGTACCTTTCTGAAAGACCTATGTCAGTTAAACTCAAGATACTGGATTCAAGGGCATCAAACTTTTTCTTACCAGTGTTACGGATCACTATGATATTCAAATCTTAAAGCTATGAAAACTCATCCATTTGGTCTGATTCTTTGCAGACTCATGTAAACCAGTAAACTTCTCAGGATAATCATGTTAAAAAGAATTTTCAAGCAGTAAGTTGAATGCACACTTGATACTTGTTTTGTAATGTGAGTTCTGTTGTGATCATGGTGACTGAACCACAGAACTGTGTTTCCTGCATTTGGCCAACAACTTTACCAACAAAAAAAGAAGTTTCTGTAGGCCTGCCTTCTGCAACCAGGAAATAATGGATGATAAACAGAAGAAAACATCCATAGGGTAAATATGTCGTTACAATGCGCATAAATAAGGAAGAAACATATCATTATGAAATTGTGCTCCCAAAGGTAAGACAGAAATATTCAGAGGTGGTAAAGATTTTCTTGTAGCCATTGAAATTAAAGTGTATATAATTTTATAAAGATAATGTTTATATTTTCCAGATAAATGATTTAAGAGAAATTGAATTACTGTTAAGGTATCTCAAAATAAAGAATTGCAACCACATAATTATTACAAGAGAACAATTTCAGATACCTGTTTTCACATTCAGTTTGTAACCTTTTTTCTTTTTATTCATTAGAACAGTGCACCATGACAATGTTTCAATACTTCCAGCTTTGAAAATTCTTAGGAAATTTAATTTAATTAAAAGCAGTGGATCTTCTCCAGGAAAAATGCAAAAAACATTTACCTAATTTGTCTAATATTGTTTGTAAGTTTACATGGTGTATTATAGACCCAAGCCCAATGTGAAGTTTGTTTGAGAATCTTTTAGATTTCTTTGTTTTGTGATTCAGCAACTATATTTTTATAATGCAGGCAATGAGAATCTTACCAAGAAAAGAAAACATGGTGTTTGCTGAATCTTTTGTTCTAGTCAACGGATTTGATATGTATATAACGTTTTGTACGTAATATTAGTAATAATGCAGGATAGTTTTTGACCATAAAAGCTTCATCTGTATCATTTTCTTTGATTTTACAATCAAACAGTAATCAATCTGCAGTAATTCAGACAAAAGACAAGAACCTTGCAGAATTCATTTTAAACACATGCCTTTGGATTAGAAAATACTTCCCAAAGAGAATGCACATGCTGGTTATGCACACAAGTCTGTGCATGTTTGTGTGCCTGCCTACCGTACAAGTGAGAGGAGCAGGACAGTCCCAGTGGGCTGCCATTGCAGAAGCCATCTCTTAACACTGCTCTTGGACTCTTTTCAGCTTCTGTCACCAAGCCAGACAGACCAGAATGCTGGAGTATGTCTACAGAAGATACAAGACAGGTGAAAAGGAACTGGTGGGGGGCAAATGTATGAGTTTCACTCTCAGTGCAAGAATCTTGATAGACCCATAATCACAGAATCACAAAATTGTCTAGGTTGGAAGATCATCAAGTCCAACCTCTGACCTAACACTAACATATGTTATCCAATAATGATAATAATAATAATGATGATATTTAGAAATAGAAGTCTTTCATCAGGGACTTTACAGTGCTGAGGGTCTTTCCTGCTCAACTATCCTGGAGTATGCTCAAAACATCAATGCTTATGTGGTTTCCCTAAGGTTTTGTTTATGTTTGCAAGTACAGCAGCATACTAATCTGATCAGTGGAGTGATTCAGGTGGTACATGGGTCCTAATGTACATTTTATATGTATTTAAAGGCAGGTTGCTATGGTCACGGTCTAGGCTTGTCCTTCCACTGAGTGCCCATATCTGACTGATGACAGAGTGCATCTCTTGATTTCCTTTGAAAGAAATTCAACTTTTCACATCCCATTACATTCCACGTGATTAGAAGTAAGTGGGGATGACTGAGAGATTCACTTCTAAAATGAAAATCATACTAAGGAGTTAGGACACAAGAGCTAGTTACATCGTTTGACAGGTCTCATGTGCTAGAGACCTGTGCTAGAATTGTGCGCTGGATCTTACTGAAATCATTAGTCTTTATCTGCTGTTTTCAACAAACTTTGAATCAAGATGTGTAGATGAAGGGAGCTTGTATTTTTACTGCTTCACCATCTTAATTTTGCTTAGCATCATTAATAAATAGTTAACTATATAATAGTTAATAGTGTATTCAGCAGTTCTGGGACAAGTGTATGACAGCCTTTGTAATTCTTGCTTGCTCTTCAATATAAATCTTTCTGTATACATGTTGCCTCCAAATGTCTTCAATAGTTAATAAAAAAGTGTTGTTTTTTGTTTGTTCGTTTGTTTGTTTGTTTTTAAAGTGCACAATATAACATTAGAGGCAATTGAGACCAGATACCATGTTGATACTTCTGCTGATCTTTTTTTGTTCAATGTATCAGGTGACTGTTTAAATTTCTAAAGCAGTATCTGAAGGAAATAAATCCCTTAGTAATTGATAGGCTTAGTTATATGTTTCATATTGACTGAATATATGATTATATTTTCAGCTACAATTCAAAACAGAAAACAGAAAAATGAAAACAAGAAATAAAGTATTAGCATGGAAATATTACTTAAATGTCTTCAATGGAATTTTCTTGGTAAAAAAAAGTTTTTTTTTTCTTATTTAGCAACTTCAAATTAATTATTTAAAAATGGTTTGAATTTAAAAAATTAATCCTTGTTTTTTGTTTGTTTGTTTGTTTGTTTGTTTGTTTTCCAGGCTCTGGGTATTATGCTTTTGACATTTGGCTTGTGGCTTTTATTTGACAGAAACAATTTATTCAGTGTGTTGTGTGAGTATAAATAGTTGTGTTTTTTTTTTGTTGTTGTTGTTGTTGTTCTTGTTTTTGTTTTCCAAATAATTCTAAGATGCATCAATATAGTGATTTTTTTTTTTTTTCACAAGGTGGCAGTGTTGAACTGAAATGTATAGTTTATTTATTCTGTTGTGTATATTTTCCACCATTAGATAATATGATTATTAAAATAAGAGAAAATATAGTATGTATTTGTACATCTATAATTTATATATGAGTACAATTTATACAATTTATCTCACTTGCTGTATGGCTTGTAGAAGAATCACTGAAATATAAATCAGCTCTATTTATCTTTTCTTTATATAATTTCAGAATGCATTTGGCCAGCATTTGGCAATATTATTTAAGTGGGTATTTGGCTGGAATAAACACCAGTTGGCACTTGTGCTCTCCATTTTCTCAGAGCATCTATCAAATTATTTCACAGAGAAGTAAGTTTTGAGCCACATAACAATAGCTGTCCTCTTAAGGAGCTGTCTTTCTTGATTATGCCAAGGAGCACCAGTGCACCCTTCCAATGAGGAAACTGTGAGATGAAACATTTGAGATGGGAGCAATGAGAACACCTGCTACTTTCTATATCAGTAAGAATATCAGTAAAAAAAAATTTTACATCAAAACGAAGTAAAATGGAAAGGGAAAAGTGGCCAGTCACAAAGAAGGAGGATAGCAATGGAATGGAGTCAATTAAATGAGAATTCTGTGTCCACACAGGATTTGTATGTCATAATAATTTTTAGTGAACAAAAACTGTAACTAAAACTAAAACATCTATAACTTTTAATTGTTCTCTGTTCTCATTATGGGTAGTTCCATCTTTTCATTAATGGAATTGCAAAGGTTTATTGTTTTTTTCTGGAGTAAGTTTTTTAAGTAGAAGTATTGAATAAATTGAATTGACAATGTGAATGCCCTGTGTTACAGTTTCTTCAGGTGAAAACCAACCAGTGTCATATATTTCTTTTATGTTACTTGGAGCTGGATCTCTTATTACTTTTACATCAGCCATGGGATTCATTGGAAGCGTTCAAGAAACCAAATGTCTACTAGCTACAGTAAGTGAAAACCAGACTCCAGCTTTCTAGTAAAATATGTGAAAATGTGAGTGAAACCTGTGTGATCCTGTACTGATGTTTTCCAGTGTTTCT